CAGGGGGTTTGGACACCTACCAAACACAAAAGATTTGAATTGAGCTGAGAATGGAATCAAAGTTCTCACTATTGCTAAAGGGGAAGTAGGGAGAGTTAGTATAGTTGGCTTGACACTCCACTCAGCCACTTACCCATCTACCCTCTTGTCTCTCTGTCCATCCACCCATCCATCCTCCATCAAATATCCACTTATCCCTGCATTCATCTATCCACCCATTCACTTGTCTACCCATCTATCCACATATCCACCAACCTTCCCATTTAGCCATCCAATTCATCCATCTACCTACATATCCATCCATCCGTCCGTCCGTCCGTCCGTCCGTCAGTCCGTCCGTCCGTCCATCCATCCATCCAGCCAGCCAGCCAGCCAGCCAGCCAGCCAGCCAGCCAGCCAGCCAATGCATCCATCTACCTACATAACCATCCATCCATCCATCCATCCATCCACCCATCCATCCATCCACCCATCCAAACATACATACATGAATACATAAATATATACATCCACTACATGTTTCTGGGTGCATATTAGGTGCTGGTGATTCATCAACCAACAATCTAGATGTATTCACTTCCTGCTGCCACAGAGATTACCATCAAACAGAGAAGGCGGACAATTAAACAAGCGCTTAGTCAGGGTGCTGGTGCTGGGAGTACAGGGTACCGTGGGAGTCCTCAGTAGGGGCACCATGTCTAGCCTGGAGGGGTATGGAAGGTTTCTAAGAGGCTGTGACCTGCAGAAGGAATTGGAATAGTTGAGGCACAAGAAATGTGAAGGGCCTCTGAGGCAGAAGGCTCAGCAGATGCCGCAGGTGAGAGACAGGGTGGCAGCCAGCCCACCAGGAGGCTGTTACTCAGCGCTCAGTTTGTTCAGCTAGGAAATGGGGCAGGAAGAGCATCAACCACATGTTGGATGGGACCAGGGAGTGTAACACGTGCAGAGCAGCGAAAGAGGCAGGGTCTGGCAGATGTACAGGGGACAGACTGGGGTGGGCAGGAGAGAGGGATGAGCAAGGATGCCAGACAGGTGGAAAAGAATGCACAGTCTTGCCTGCTTCCTCTTTAGGAAATGACTATTCTGCCCCTCGTTTGATCTGCATACATTGTCTTTTTATTCTGAGGCTCATGCAGGGTTTTATTAGCATCTCGATTTCTTACAGGGAGACTCGCTTTCAGGAACACCGACTCACCTGAGGCCCTGTGGCTGGAAGGTGGCAGGGTCAGGAATGGCCCAGGACTCTGGCACCTGGATCATCTCCCGACGAGCCCAAGGCCTTGGGGGTTGGAAGACTTGAATTCTTACCTAGATCAATCGTGGATAGCTGGGTGTTTGGGGACAGATCATCTTATTTCTATCTCAGTTTCTGGATATTAAGAGAAATAATGGCCACTGAGAGATAGCAGTTCCTAATCCCTGCAACCTGTGCATGTGACCTTATTTGGAAAAAGGGCCTTTGAAGACATGATTAAGTGAAGGCTATTGCAGGGGGAGAAACCATCTAGGAGGACCTAAAGACAACTGCCTATACCCTCACAGGAGAGAAGCAGAGAGAAACTTCATACACACAAAAGAGAGTGACCCAAGCACAGAACCGGAGGTGGAGAGACGTGGCTACAAGCCAAGGAACACAGCAGCCACCAGAGGTGGGAAGACGCAAGAAACACCTCCCCCTCCCCCACAAACAGGTGGAGGGAGAGCTACCCTGCTGTCAACTCAATTTCAGCTGGGACGCTGATTCTGGAATGTGGTCTCCAGAACTGTGAGAGAATAAAGGTCTGTGTTCAGCTACTAAATTTGGGGTAATTTGTTATAGCAGCCTCAGGACATGGATACTCAGTCTGTCGTCTAAAAATATGACAAGGGGCCTCCCTGGTGACGCAAGGGGTTAAGACGCAACCTACGAAGCTGTCTGCAGCCTCTGCAGCACGAGTTTGATCCCCGGCCAGCCTGGGAGCAACCCACATGGCACAGCAGACCTCTCCTGACTCGCCCACTGCTCCCCTCAGAAGTGTACTTTGGTCAATCTGCCTTTTCTGTCCCCACTCTCGGTGAATCCTCTCACCCCCCACACCTTTGGCCTGTACCCCAGAGGTATGCATAAATAAATAAATCTTAAAAAAAAATAAAAAGATGACAAAACATTTTCTCTCTGAGCTCTAACAATAACAAGCTGCAGTTGTTGAGTGCCAACCGTGTACTGAGACATCGGTGTACCTATTTTAGCCTCTGGCTTTCCTCTGATGGAATATGGTTACGCTTGCTGATGGACAAGGACATGGAGAAGAATCTAGCAGGAATTCAGAATGTACCAGGTGATGAGGAACCACTAACTGCCTGTTTCCCACTCCATTTTGAGATTCAGCATGGGCCCTGAAACTGTGATGCCCCGGGCTGTGTGACTCCGAGGAGCTGCCTGGCCTCTGTACCTTCCATGTGCTCATCCATGAGCGAGAGTAACCGCACCTGCATCAGAGGAAAGCCAGAGGCTCTGACAGATACACAATGTCTTGGTACACAGTTGGCTCAGTACACAGTACTCAATAATTGCAGTGTGTTATTATTCGTTTTCAGTATTCCAGGCAGTCGATGCTGAACTAGCTTCCTCACATGCCTGGACTTACAGCATGTGTCCTCACTGGGTATTGAAAGGGTTTCCTGTCTTATTGCCGTCTGTAGGTTATCAACCAGAAAGCATAAGGCAGGAGTTGTATCTAAGTCTGCTCCACTGGCCTGTCGCTCATTCTCTGTTTACTGAGTCCTACACAGTGCGAGATCTTGAGGCTAGACCGATGGACGACATGGATTTCCTGGATAGTGGGAAGACAGCAGTGAATCTAGTAATCACGCAAATGGGGAATCACAAAGTGTCACATGCAGTGAAGGTAAAAGACTTGTCTGCAGGATCTAAAAGTGACTTTGAGTCCAGGTTTGAAGGATGAGCACCCTTTGGAGAAGCAGCATCTCTGTGGTCTGGAGGGGCTGAGAAGGGCTGAGACAGGAGGAAGAGCTGGGGAAGAAGCACGGAGGGGGAGCAAGAGCGGTGTGGCATGAGGCTGGCAAGGTGGGCAGGGTGGACTGGGCAGGCTTGGAGTGTGGTCTTTGTCCTATGCACAGTGGGCATCCCTGGAGGGTTAATTCGGGTATAAGTGATGGGTGGGGATGAGCACATTTGTTTTCTTTAAAAAGACTATTCTGGTTGCAGGGAAGAGAATGAACTGGAGGGATCAGAGTGGGCAGATACACAGAGACTACCTTGGTCCAACAGTGGCCTGGACTAGGGTGGTGGCAGTGGAGATGTGGAGGGAGGGTGGATTCCAGAAAAACTCAGGAGGGAAACGGAACAGAACCTGGTTACCGGCTAGAAGAGCAAGGAAAGAAGAGGAAGAGTCCAAGGCAACTGCCAGGCTGCTGACCTGAGCAAGGGGACGGACGGAGATCTCAATCTCTGGGCTCCGGAATAGCAAGGAGGCCCCAGCTTCAGGGGGGAGCATGAGTTCATTCTTGGAAATCTGTCTGCTGTGTCAGTATCTGATGCTCCTCAACCCTACCCCTGCTGCAAGTGCCCCCACCTCAGGCAGCCATGTTTTATCCCAGTTGACCCTGTTTCCTCTTGATGATTGTTGACTGGGTAAGAGGTGGCACATGACCCTATGCAGCCCACTGATTGGTCACTGAACTATAAAGTGGCTGGTGCAAAACGTGAACTGGGCCAACCAGATTCCTTCTCTTATAGAAGTGAACATGTCCAAACCCCTTCTTGTTTAAGTGGAGGATCTCTCTTGAGATCACAGCATGAAGCCAAGAGTCATGGGCCTGACTGCCTGGTGGCAACTTGGCAACCTCTAGCTGTGTGGCCTTGGGCAAGTCATCAAACCTCTCTGTGCTTTCACTTCCACATCTGTGAAAATGGGATGGTAGGACTAACAGTACCCACTTCCTGGGGGTGTGGGGATGAGTCAATGAGTTAATGCATATAGAGGATGTAGAACTGTAGCCACCACATGGTAAATGCCCTGCAAGCATTTGCTGTCACACTTGTTATTTCTGGTCCTAGCGAGAACAGGCAGAAAGTGCTTCATGGTTGACCATCTGTTCCCAAGGATCATTTAGCACCAGCCATCGTGTACTCCAGTAAGGGTTCTGCCTCTCCTGCCCCTCCTGGACCCTCTGAAATCCCATAGCCAACATGCACTAAGAAGTGGGGGCTTCTGCCATGTCCCCCATGCTGGCTTCAGTCCTAGCACCTCCCCAGCCAGGTATGGCCAGGGCATGGCTCCAGCTGGGTATGGGGAGGGGCTTCTTAATACTTGAGAAAGACTGATACCCCCTGTGTCTATGTTGGTTGGGGTCTGAGTCCACTAGCAGGAGCTGGCTCACCCAGACTAGGCAGCTGATGGCTATAAGCTACTCCTGCTCAAGGCACATGACCTCTGGCCACGTAGCTCCTGGCCCCTCACTGGCTTACTGCGTCTCTCCTCCAATGGAGTGAGGCCTGAGCAGGTACTCGCGGAAGCAGACCATTCAGAAACTTCTCCCTGAGGTTCCTAGACAGCCCTAGAACATGAAGCTTGTGAGAACAGTTCTTGGTCAGGACTTCAGAGAGAGGAGATGACTGGAAATGGAGTTGATACTCAACCATGCTGACGTGAAAAAGCCCCCATAAGAAGCAGGACACAGAACATATCAATATGCTTTTCTCTTCTCTGAGGTGAAATGTAGGTGAAAAACCACATCAGGGGCAACTTTGAACAATGAAACTCAGAAAATACACTTGGAGAGCAGAGGTGTCACAAGAAGGCAGTGATAAGACAACCATGCTCAGCTTTAAGGAGTTACAAGAGGTGGATAACACATTTCCTACCTCAAGTTCTGTTTATTTTACATACTGACATCAGCTCTGTTCACAACCACTCCTTTCTCCCTTAGAAGGTACCTGGAAATCCCTGCATGATCGACGTGACTGAGTCTCCCTGGAGGCCACAGCCAGTGCCTACCTTGGACTTGACGGCCAGGATGATCTTGGGCAGGGCCACCACAAGGCACTTGAGGGCGATGGTGATGTACTTCAGCACAAAGTCTGCAATCCCCACAATCCACAGCAGGTCAAAGAAGTCCAGTGTCTCCAGGTTGGGCTTCAGGAATATGAGGCTGGGGTGGGGGGAGGAGTCAAAGAGTCAGGATGCTCCCTTAGGAGAACTGGCCTTCGCACTACTCACCCTGGGAGTCTTGGAAGCATCACCTCTAGGCAGAGTATTGAAGTGGATAGTCAGACATCTGTGTCTTAATTCTGATCTGTTACTAACTGGCTGGGTGACCTCAGATGGTATCTTGACCTCTCTGAGTCGCAGTTCCCTTGAGCATTAAATGATGAGACTGGCCTGGAGCATCACTAGTTAAGGTCCCTTCCAGTCTGATAGGTCTACAACAGGTTTCACAAGAAAAGCAAAGAGGAAGTAAGGAAGGAGGGAAGCAGGACTGGCCAACACTGTGTAACAGGGAGGACAGTGGAGAGAGGAAGGAAACTGATGTGCTAGACACTAAGCTCCTTACTTACTGTCCTGAGCAGTGAGCAATTGTTTATTCCCACCTTATAATGAGACACTGAAGTTTGGAGAAGTGAAATAAAGGTGCCCGAAATCAGGATGCATGATACACATATGCGTATTACTATCAGTCAGCCTTGAACTTGAATCTCGGCTTCTCCATTTATTGGATCCTGTGCAAATAATGTTACTTCTGTAAGCCTCAGTGTTCTCATTAATAAAATGGGAATCATTCCCTTCCTCTTGGTGTTACTAGCAGGACTGGACGAGATAATAGACATACTGCATACCCCACCATGCAGCAAAGATGATGATAAATATACTCTATGAGGGCCTCCCTGGTGGCACAAGGCATTAAGACACAGCCTATGAAGCTGTCCACAGCCACTGCAGCACGAGTTTCATCCCCAGCCAGGGAGCTGCCCACATCGCGCAGCAGACCCCTCCTGGCTCACCCGCTGCTTCCCTTAGCAGTGTATTTAGGTCAATCTGCCTGTTCTGCTCCCCACTCTGTCTCTGGTGAATCCTCTCACCCCCCGCACCTCTGGTCTGTACCCCAGATCTTGTATGCATAAATAAATAAATCTTTAAAAAAAAAAACACCTCTATGAGAAAGATTGTATTACCCCATTTTACAGATGAGGACACTGAAGCACATAGAAGAAAAGTAACATACAGAGTCCTACAGCTATTAAGGGACAGAGACAGATTTGAATCCAGGTTCCTGCCTGCCATCAGCGCTCTCAATCCTCACTCTGCAGCAGAGCTACTGGGAGTGCATTAACCTAACCCCTTTCATCCATCGGTGACCAAGTAAGTTAATCTCACACTCAATTCTGTGCTTACTTCATTGGAAACAGACAAGCAGTTCTCAAACTGGCGCAGGTCCACAGACCACACTGTGAACACCACTGTTCTCTGCCACTTCTGAGGACAATAATGTTATTCATAATAACAATAGTAGCAAAAACATCTTGGCTTTTTATAGCATCGTGGCCCTACTCTACATACTTTGGCATGCCTTAACTCATTTTGTCTTCCCAAAGACTCCACGAAGTGGGTACTATGATCATCCCATTTGGAGCTGGGGAAACTGAGTGCTGAGAGGTGGAATCACCTGCCTGTGGCAGCTCAGCTGGAAGGTGGTGCTAGGATTAGAATCAGCACCCTCTCTGTGCACCCCTCTTTTCTTTCCACTGAATTAGAGGTTCCGAAAAAGGCCAGCCCGAGTCCTACCTGCCTCTGTGGAAGCAGGAAACGGAGAGGGTGCTTTCTGAATGCTCCAACATTCCGCAATGTCATTCAATGCCATTTCAAGATGATGTCGACAGGAATAAAAAAATCCTGGCTGATGCTGAATAAAATGGTATTTGAGGACCTGGCTTCATCACACAATGCTTTGCTTAAAGTTGCAGTTTCCAAGACCCCAGCAGCCACACTCAGTGAGGACGTAGTGGACTCTGCTAGGCTGGCAGAAACAGGGGCAAACTGACATCTTGCTGTAGTATCCTCTGAACAAACTGGCTTGAAAATTTTTTTTTTTGCTTTTATTTAAAATAATCTACTTCTAATTATAATAAAAATCCTTAAAGAATTATAGCAGGGCTAATCATGCAAACAATCTCTCTGGGCAATCTCTTACACACTCCCAGCGTCCTTCTACATCCCAGTCTTGTCTCTGTGGGAGTCCTGGCCTCTAAGTTTGGGTGGCCACCCACGTTAAAATTCGGAGGGAGGTTTGCAGCCCTGAGCTCCCTTCACTGGCTCTGCTCCTGTCTTCCCTGGGGCTCTTGCAGCTCTGGTGGGTGTTGCCAACTTCTGCTTCTCTATCACTCTGATGAGTAGATACCTTCCACTTTCCACTTTTATCTCAGAAACATGCGGTAGTCACTGCTCTGGGTCTACCATCTTCATGGTTTTTCCTGCTTTTGGTTTTGGAGAAGCGTGCAAAAGTGGTTTCCCCAGAGTAACCACATAATTCACTTATTTCTAAAGTATATATGAACTTCAATGGACGGGTATATTTTACTGCCAGCTTTGCTGCTCAGTAAGCACCACCCTCCAGAGGTATAACGTCAATTATGATGTGGTAATGATGTGTCTAATGACTTAGGGTGCTCAATATTTTTTATGTACATATAACATTTGGCCGTCCAGTGGCTATAGCAAGAATTGACTTGGTCCTGAGTTCACAAAGGCGGCAAGTAAGGGAGGCTCTAAAAAGTTCTATTACTTGGCAAGGGCACAAGGTTGGTGAGTGGCAGGACTAAGACCCTCTGAGGTTGGTCATCAGACTTCAAATCCTGGGAAGACTCAAGCTTGTGGGTATGGGGTACCTATTGGGATGAAGCATCAGTTTCCTCATCTGTGAAATGGGGACATCGATACCTGCTGGGTCACTGGAACGGAAAAACGTGGTAATGGCTGTTGGCATCACTTACCAACATGCTCTAGACTGCTCACATCCATTAGGAAGAAGTCTCAGTACTGTTAATTTGCTCTGCCTCTTTTTAATCACTTTGTATCCTTCTCTTTCTGGCTGCCAGCTTGACTTGGTCCTGCTTTGATGCGGGCATAGAGGTCTGAGCCTGTGAGTGTGATCACGCCCAGAGAATGGCATGAGCTGGAAACTCATCCAACATTCTGGGAAACTCCACCTCCTACACTGTCCACCAGGACCTTGACATTCTGGGCTGGACAGCTAATGTGTGTGAGCTGCACAGTGATGCCTTGGAATGAACTCCCCAAACTGCTTTTACAGGGTGGCTCCAGAAAGTCGTGAAACTACTCACTCCTCAAAGTCCATCTTCAAAACAGATGTATGGGATCTGAAAGCTTGGCTCAGATTTCCACCCTGTGCCCTCACTGGCCAGCACTCCCCCAATTTCATACCCCTTTCCCCCTATCTTCTACTTGGCTGCTAGAAAATAGAAAATCACATATGTGGGGAACTGGAAAGCTATAGCGTGGTGCTGGCACATTGTTCCAAGTGAAGGGGTCATAGATCCCAAATCCAACAAAGAATGCCCCCACCCTTGCCATTTCCCACTAGAGGTCAGAATCCCTTGCTCACCTGTTATACAGCTGCTGGGAACTGAATGTATAGAGCACATACAGGGTGTTCCCTGCCAGAAAGGTCAAGATCCACAAGATGACCAGCACTGACCTCTTCTCCTGGAAACGAAGCAAGAGATTCATGGGGATGCTGCCAAAAACGCACATGCCAGAACATTCTGGAATATTCCTTGATAAGCAACAAACTTTTCCTTTCTCAAAACTTTGGAGGAAGCAGGGTTAATGGTGAAGGGAAGGGAGCTGACTTCTTCCCATTATGCTGGAACCCAAGGGATGATCACAGAAGAAGTGACAGAAAAGTTGAAACCTGCTTGGAGAATTATCCAGAAAGGCAGGAGAGCATGTGGTTAGCAGCATGGATTCTGGAACTGTATGGTCCAGGATCCAATCTTAGCCTATTACCTGGGGGATGACTAATCCTGGAAAAGTTATTTAAACTCTTTGTATTTTCCTTTTTTCACCTGTAAAATGGTTATATCATGTATAGGTCTCAGACTTGGGAGAATTAATGTACATGAAACACTTAGGACAGTGCTTGACATGCAGTTCATGTTAATTCACATTTCCTGTAAGGAACAAAGGCACAGAGAGGTTAAGTAACTCTGCTCAGGGCACATCTTTTTCTTTTAGATTTATTTTTATTTATTTATGCCTACAAGAACTGGGGTGTAGGTCAGAGGTACGGGGGTGGGGGAGAAGGGTGATGGGATTCACCAGAGACAGAGCGGGGAGCAGAACAGGTGGATCTACTGAAATACACTGCTGAGGGGAGCAGTGGGTGAGACAGGAGAGGTCTGCCGCGCCATGTGGGTCAGCTCCCTGGCCAGCTGGGGATCGAATTTGTTCTGCAGAGGCTGGAGATAGCTAGATAGCGCTGAGACTTTAACCCCTGTGCCACCAGGGCACATGTTTTCAGCCTCAGTGCTCTCATTTGAAAATGAGGGTTTTGGCAAGAATGAAGTCAAATGCATACAAGTAAAATGTTGTCTGCTACAGGTTCAGATTTCAGTTCCCTGAATGGTGGCACCTATTATTCAGACTTTACAATTCAGCAGTTGATACAGATCGACAGGTTGGAAACTTCTGTTCTGACTTTTTCTACCATGGTCCTCTTGGCAACTGCCCGGGTTGACAATTCAATAAAGGCAGAGCCAGGTTTACGGGATCAAATCCAAGTTCATGCACATGGCCGTTGAAGCCTTTCACAATCCATTTTCCTTTCTCCAGACTTGTTTCTGTTTAGCCCCCAGGAAAACTATCTCTGTTTGCTGTTTCCCAGCAGCTTCTTGGCCTGACAGCAAATGTAGAAAATTTCTGGAGAAAGCGCAGAGCCGGTCATGTTCCCGCCCGTGTGCCCTAGGAGACGCAGGCAGACCCCCAATGCCGCTGATTCTCAAAAGCTCATCTTTTCCTGGACCAGGGCGGCTGCATTGCTGGAATAAGATGAGGTCATAACTTTCCCCAGCGTAACCTTCCCTGCGGTTTCGGTAAATGCTCCACTGTCTGCAGACATAGCTCAGCACCCCACACACTGTTACGATGCACATTTCCATAGAGGAGACAAAATAAATGCATCTCCATCCACCCATTATTTCAGGAGCGGTCAAGGTTAACGACCCTAGAAACCACCTCCAACCAACAACCAACTGCTCTCATCAATGTGATTAATCCACGAGGCAGCCCTTTCTTACCCCAATAAATAATAGATTCCAGCTTTATCCTCTGTAAATCCCAGCCAAAGGTGGACGAGCAGGAGGACGCCTGAGAAGCCAGACTTTGAAGGACAAAGGGGGTACTTCTCCAGCAGGACAGCACGACTCCTAAACTTTATTACAGAAAATATGCACAGACAGGCACCCTATCTCCTGTGTCTGCATATGGTTCAAGGAGCTGCTAGAAGCCCGACTGTGGATCCTGGCATCAACTTGGCCCTAAAATGCAAGTCCAGGCACCGTTCAGATGCTATTACAGTTGAGCGGGACCAGGGCCCAAAGGACCCCACTGTGGAGTGGATCTACCTGCTGTTCCGACAGCAGCAGAAAGGGGTCCGCATGAAGATGAGGCTAAGGGTCAGGAAGGACCTCTGGCTCCATGCCCAGCGCTGGGCCTAAACCTGCTCGTGTGTTAAGTGGCAACTGAGCTGCCCTCCTTGCCCCATGAAGGCCCACATGCTTTTGAGCAAGCTGATGGGTGGCTGTCACGGGATCACATGCACCTGATAGAAATAGCTTGATTAAATATTTGCTAAATGCCAAGACCATTTTAAACACCTGCAATGCACGGTCTCATTTAATCTTCTCAATGAATGGCGGGAACAGTGGCTTCTCCAGAGGCAGCACCTGATGCTGAGATCCCCAAGGTATGCTTCCTGTCTGAGGGCTTGCAGGTGGATGTAGCAACTGGGATTGGAACCTGGGCTGAGCATGGGCTCCAGGATTAAAGCCTGGGTTCACATCCTCATGCCACTATACTGGCTGTGTGACCTCAGGGAAGGAACTTGTGTCTCTGACTGACTCTTTCCTATTGGGAAAATGAGATATGAATGATTTTGCTGGGATGAATCAGCAAGACGAGGTGTGCAAAGGGCATGGCTGTACTGGGCACAGGACTGAGCAGGTAGACGCGGGCATTCGGGACAATGGTGGTGCAGCTGTATGTCTCAGCAAACCTGAGGGTGGGTTGAGCTAAAAGGCTAAGTATCAGGAGAATAAGACTGGGCGGGCGCTTTGGGGGAGATGCCGTTGTTCTATCTGGGGATAGCCTGGGGTGGCAGGTAGAAGAATGGCCACCCAAAGATGTTTCCATCCTAACCCCTGCAAGCTGTGACTATGTTAGGTCACATTTGAAGGGGGAATTAAGGTTGCTAGTCAGCTGACCTAGTGATGGGGAGAATCTTCTGGATTATCCATTTGGGCCCAATATAATCACAAGGATCCCAAAAAGTGGAAGAGGGAGAGAGAAGCGGACAGTCAGAGGGGGATGTGGAAGGATGGCCACAGAAGTGCAACAGTGCCAACTGGAAGAAAATGGAAGGTGCTGCGAGCCAAAGAAGGTGGGCTTGGAAAAGGCAAGGGAAGAGATTCTCCCTACCCTCTTGAAGGAAGAGTCTTGTGGACACCTTGATCTTAGGCTAGAGAAAGCCACCCCAAACTTCCCATCTATAGAACTGATAATACATTTGTGTTGTTTTAAGCCACTTAAGCCACTAAGGTTGGGTTCATTAGTCATGGCAGCTCAACAGGCATGGAGACTCACCTTCAGAGAGACCTGCTCTCGCAGCGTGGAGTTGGCATAGGCGAAGGTGCTGGCCATCCCAATGCACACGGCAATGCCTGCAGGACAGAGGAGGGGACACCACCCGCTCAGACTCCAGGCCTGGCCCCAGGCCCACCAGGGGCCATGAGCAACATTTAAAGACACATTTCTGATCCCCAAGAATTGACAGGGTAATCACATAAGACAGAGAAAACCCCCTTTCTGGGAGACTTGGGCTGCCATGGAAATTGCTCAGAATGCTGGGCCACTCTGAGTTTAGCCTCTGACTTGGGACAGAATGGAGGCCACTGTGGGATTTTATAGAACTGGGTTAGGCGCATGGGCCGGGCAGTCTGGTGATACCTGGGGTCAGATCCAGGTTCTGCTGCCTGGTCTCTGAGACTGGGCTCATTACCCCACCTCCCTGAGCCCCAGTTTTCTCATCTATAAAACAGACAAAATAGGAACAGGACTTACTTCATAATGCTTATGAGCTCCAACTTCTAGCAGTGAGACAGTATCTGAGATACGTTATTTGTAACGAGAGCACACGCTTTCATTACACACCACACTCCATCAGGAATTAAAGTTTAACATTACAGGAGAAAAATCCTGATTGATAGACAACATGACCTCAGCAGATGGGGGAACGGAATTGAATTTGATTCCATAATTTGCCAACCTACAATTTTGGAATTCTCTGAGCCTGGCATTTCAAATCCTACTTTTTGTTGCCCGTACATAGAACTCTGCTTTTACGCAACCTCAGGGCCCTTCATGCCTGGGGTTTGGCGACTCTTTTAACTGCACATGGACTCCAGGTATTCCTCTAGCTCAATTTCCCAAAAGCTGTGATTTCTTCATCGAAAACATACAAAATAGAATGGAATAGCCCACAACCCTGCTTCTACACTCTTGGATTAAACCAAATCACCTGCCAACTGAAAAAGAAAATGGCCACACTGGACAGTAAGACTAAGTGGACAGCTGGAATGCAAAGCCAGAAGGGGTGGACACTCCAGATTTCATTTCTAGAAGTTGAAAGGGACTGACATGACAGCACCCCCAGAAGGAGAATGAGCTGAGTCGGCTGGAACTCATTAGAAAGGGGCAACTAAGAGAAGATGGCCTAGCGTCTTCAAGGACACAGTAGGTCATGAAGAAATTCCTACCACAGGATTGAAGCAGTAGCCCAGTGAGTCTGTAGGAAGCAGCGGCAACTTCTAATAACAGTAACCAGCCATGTTAATGCAGAAGCCACTTACTGAATGTCAAGTGTGTATGTCAGGCATGGCATTTATGAATTGTTATTTTACTTTCCAATGTCACAGGTAGCATTTATTGAGTACTTGCTATATGCCAGATTGTATGTCAACTACTTTACATGTATTAAAAACGAATATAAAGAACATAACCTACACTTGCATAGCACCTACTCCTGCCAGGTGCTTTACACATATTAACTCATTTAACCCCACGGCAGTCTCAGGAACTACTGCTATAACTCTCATTTAGGGATGATGGACCGAGGCGCAGAGAGGCTAAATCAAGTCCTCAGCATCACACATCTAGGCAGGGGCTGAGGTGGGGTTCAGACCCAAGCACGTGTGAACAGTTATTACATGCCACTCCCTCACACAGCTGAGTAGCTGCTATCACAGCGTGTCCCCCTTCTGTCCCACTGAACAGATGAGGAAACTGAGGCTCAGAGGTGAGTGACTTTCTGAAGTCACCTGCTGGATGGCCAGGATCTGAACTGAAGTCTGACTCAGAATCCCATATTCCTAAGCACTTTGCCCCAAGAGGGTCTCTCTACCGCCTTCTCCTGGCAGTTGGACTGAAGATCCCCTTTCTTGCGTGTTGAGGGGGCACGGGAGAGTCCCAGGTTGTAACCCTACATCTCCTGGGACTCACCGAGCTTGTGTTGGAAGCACACTTTGGCCAGGAGGATCAGGATGAAGGGCAGCCCTTTCTGGAGCCAGCAGATCACGGCCTTGAGCTCGGACAGGGCCGGGGCGGGGGTCCCGGGCTGCTCATCGCCCCCCTCCTCCGAGTGCCCACGGTGGTCGCCGCCCACGTGCTGCAGCAGTGAGCTCCCGCGGTGGCTGCTGTGGTGGAAGTGGTGATGCGGGGGGCGGTGGTGGTAGGCACCCCCCTCACCACGGCCGCCCCCTTCCTCCCGCGATGCCGGCATCTGGATGAACACGTCCCCACCGCTGGCCGCGGAGCCCAGCACCAGGCTGGACGGGAACGGGGTGGTCGGGAGGCTGCCCGCGGGGAGGCCAGATAAGCCGGAGAAGAGCGCTGGCGGGGAGGCTGCTTCTGCCTTCAGACTCTCAAAGACGCCGCCTTCATCCACACTTGCCTCAGAGCTGAGCGCTTGGCTGCGATTTCTGGACCAGCCAGGGAAGAGAAAGCCCCACCAAGTCAGCAGCACAGAAAGATGGGACCCCAGCGGAGGGGGGCGAGGGAATAACCGTATCAGTGATGTTCGGGGCTGAATTGTGCCTCCCCACATTTCTATGTTGAAACTCTAAGCCCCAGTCCCTCAGAATGGGACGGTATCTGAAGACAGGGTCTCTCCAGGTGATTACGTGAAGATGAGGTCATTTGGGCCACCCCTAGTCCAATATGACTGGTGTCATCTGGATGCTGACTCACATACACAGGGCGGATGACATGAAGACACTGGGAGGAGACCGCTGTGGGCAACCAGGGAGACACCCTCAGGAGAAACCAGCCCTGCGGACAACTTGCCCTTGGACTTGGAGCCTCCAGAGCTGGGAGAGAATGTTTTTCTATTGAAGGCCCCCAGTCCGTGGCACCTTGTCACAGAAGCCCGAGCAAACAAATACAAGTAATAAAAGTGGCAGCTTCCACCCACACCTTTAGTGAAAACAGTAGAGCCCCAAGGGCTTGGTCCTATTCCAAGGGGGCTTCCTACAGCAGTGCCTTTGCACAGGCTGTCCCCTTCCTGGGGATGTCATCCCTACCCTTACCCCATCCCAGTTTGGTAAACAAGGTCCATCCATCAGATCCCAGCTTGGTGGAGCACCCCCACCACCCCAGACAGTCCCCACTACTACTGCCCTCACCTCCCCTGCCTGGGATTGATCACATGGTCACTTTACCGCTTCTCTCTTCCTCAAGACCTGTGGGCTCTCAAACCTGGCTGCACATTAGAATCATTAGGGGGAAACTTTTCAAAAATAGAGGTACCATGGTCCTACTGTGACCAGCTGAATCAAAATATTTGGGGGTGGGCCCTGACATCCTTATCTCTTCAAAGTCCCCAGGTGGTTGTAAGGTACCGTCAGTACTGAAAACAGCCCTTCAGACTGTCCATGACATCAAATGCCATGATTATTTGTTGCTCATTGAATCTCTCCTACCCAGCATGACCCAGCACACAGCACATGCACAATAAATACTGTTTGACAGAATGAAGGAGCACATGCTGGAGGCTCTATGCAGCCCTGCAACTGTTAAACTTACTTGACCATGGAATTCCTTTTTGCCATGGAAAACCTATTAACATCTCTCAGCACACTGGTGCAACCCAGCTGGGGAGATGCTGGTCTAGAAAAGACTCGGGGTTGGCCTCCATGGCTTCATGAACTTGACCCTGGGGCAAGTAATCATAACCCCAGTGCAAGGGAGGGAACTTGAAGATGGCTATCCCCTCCCCGGCCTTCCATGGCCCATCCCTACTGGCTCCAAAAGCCCAAGAAATGTGTGGTCCTATTCCCTTGGGTTCTGGATAATAATGACGATATTAATTGTGACAACAACAACTGCCACCATGGCTATGGTCCCCAAGGGTCTTGAGCTCTTTCTGCACTCCAAGAACTGAGCTCAGAAAGCAGAGTCCTGGCAGGTGCTGGCCCATCCCATTCTATCCTGGCCCCCCAGAGGGCCTTGAAAAGCCATCCTACCCCCCCACCCCCACCCCAGAGCTCACCAGCATGCTGAGTTTCCCAGACTCAGGAGGCCTTCAGTACAACCGGGAAGACTCAACCCACCCAAGGGCTTTTTATAGTTGGTCCCCCTTCCCTTGGCCTCCCCAGTACCCAGCCGAGATTTCAGCTTAATCGGGAAAGAATATTCCTTTGGGGGAGGGGGGGTGGATCAGAGGCTGTGCCTCTAACTTAACCACTTAAGGGCTAGTGTGTGAGGCAGTCCAGGAGGAGAATGGACCCAGCTAGAGGAGGCAGCTGAAATACACAGACTTTAGTGGGGAGTGAATAGATTAGGGTCCTTCCTGGCTGTGTGACTTTAGGTTATTTACTTTCCCTCTCTGAGCTTCAGGTTCCTCTTTGGTAAAAACAGTGATAAAAGTCATCCTGACCCTGCCAGGCTACTGAGAGGCTGGTACAGAGGGTGCACTAAATACACAGCGGCTGTCGTTTTACGGCCATGGGCTCAGCCCCCAAAGATCTCCTGTCTGCTAGAGCAGACAGCAAGCAACGCTGTCATCAGAGGCTGGAGTAGCTTGCACAGGCCTGTTGATTCAATGTTGGAGGCTGTGTCTGTGTATTTTCGCACTCATTCATAAGCACCTGAGTTTTATTATCTGCCATTGATGGGTGGGGAAACAGAAGCTCAGGATGAAGTTCTTTGTCGAAGGCAGCATTAGGTGGAAAGTGCCTGGGCTGGATTTTGGCCACTGGTCTCCAACGTAAGGTCAGTAATCTACTCTGCGGAACAGACAGGCCTGATGCAAAACTTAGCCCCAGTGCTGAGGCAGGTGGACTCTCTGATTCTGCAGTCAACGTCAGGGTTGCAGGGAGCCCAGAATGGATGTGAGGGAGGGTGAGCCTGGCTGCCTGCTCCTTGGATGTCTGTGCCAGCAAGGAGGCGGGGTGGGAGGCTGTCACCACCCGGGGGTAGGTCCCACAGCGTGTTCTCTCTTGGGCTTAACTAGATAGAATTGTAGCTCATGAGTGTTTTAACTGTGTTTTCTTAGACTCTGTATTTGTATATTTGGCATCTACTAATTATAGGACCAAATTAACAGCCAAAGTTGTTTCCATCTCCCCTGAGATCCAGAGCCCATACCCCCAACCACCTCTTTCATCTAATTCTCACATAGCTAGTCACCGCCCCACCCCCAACCCCCAGAGCCAGGTACCAGACAACAGGGATCACTGCTAAAAGCCAGAGTCCACTAACATTACTCAAACTAGCCAATCCTGAACTGTTTCCCCGTTCTGCCTTGCTTTGTAGGGAAAACCTACGGTTTCCCTTCGCTCCTTACTGCCTCCTGATGAGCTGGGGTCCTTCCCCATAGGGCCCAGCGTGGTGTGGCTGCCCCCTTTCTTGGAAAATATGAGTAACAAGTCTTCTTTCAATAGTGTTAGCTCTCCATGTTTCCCCCCAGTCACGTCCATAATTAAAACCCCATGGGTACAATCCTTGAGAAAAGAGTCAAGTGGAGCTCTGGCCACACCGCTTTGAGAATAACCATAGAGACAACAGCCAGTCATCACGTGTTGAGTAGCGTAAGGCCCTTGCTGTGCAAAGCTGTTTCCAACTAGGTCTCCTTGGCTCTTCCAACAAGTTACCCCAAGAGGCCGGTATTATTTGACCTAGTTGTGGGCTGCCTCTGACCCCCTGAAGGCCAGAATCCTCAGCTATAATCAAACCCGGGGAAGCTTACCTTTCAGGTGGCACGTTATCCGTGTTGCTGCTGTGACGTCTCTGCATTTTCCTTAAAACCTGAAAGCGAATGCAGGATGTGAGCCAGGGTCCCAAAATCTCCCTACTGTCAGATTGCCCTGGGAACTGTGAGAAAGCCAACCTTGTGTCTTAGATCCCCCGAACTTGCTGACATTTTCCAAATCACACGATGATCTTTTACGCCATTCAACCCTCAACTTAACATTCCATTGCGTGAAGAAAGCATAATCACCCCACCCCACAGATAAGGATGTTGAAGACTCAGACATGGAGGACGTTCTCTCGAGAGAGGAGAAAGCAGTGAACCGTGCAGTGAAGAGGTGCTGGATGAGGGGAAGTGAGCTGTGGACCTGCAGTTAGGAGGCCCAAATTGCAGAATGACTCTGCCCTAACCTACTGTGTGACCTTGGACCAATCAGTAACTTCTCTGTGGCCTCAGCTTCCCCACTTGTTAATGGGAAGGTGGGAGTGGTGACACCCCAAGCTTCCTCCCAGCTCTCACATTTCCTGAGATGGTAATGAAGATGTCAATTCTCAGGGAGACACATTACCTGGTTTACTTTGAGGAGCCACATGGACTTCAGAACTCCATGCTGATGACCCCTGACGTGGGCACTCAGGGTTCCTGAGGGAGTGACCGCTGGCTCCCAGAGAAAGCAGGTGCCTCCCTCTTCTTCCACGGTATGCACACGGCTCAGGGACGCTTACCAGAGACTCCAAACCCTGGATAGGATAGACACTTAAGTCAGTAGTCCATGAGATGCCTTGCACCCGAGAATAAGTTTTGGGGCATCGTGAGTAGCTGTACACATATGACTCTGTCACCCCAAATCTCTGATTAGCCCCTCATTGATTTGTCTTTGGGATTATTGAGGACAGTTATGATCTTAATGTATTCTGTCCCACTGTCAAACTATCAGTCCTGCTTGGGGAATAGAAAATGTTTGAGCCTCCAATGGCTTCCATTGCAAGCAGGCTAAAATCCACTGTGTTCATGGCCTATAGGTTTTGCCTGTTGGAGGGTCACCCATTTCCAACCCCATTTTCTTCTCTAACTAGTCCCTCCAGTCACAATGACCTTTCTGTTCCTCAGACATACCCAGAGTTTTTGAACTGGCTGTTCTCTTGCCCCTGGGATGCTTTTTCCTTCTGGCTAGCTCCCTCATTCAAATGTCACTTCCTCCTAGAGGTCTTTTCTTGCCCTCCTGACCCACTGTAACACTGGCCTGTTGTAGCTTCTTCGCAGTATTTATTATTTACTTACATGTTTGTTGACTTGTTTATCATCTGTCTCCCTTTAGGATGTAAATGCCACAAAAGCAGGGATCCTGTCCCCCTGGTTCGCCCCTTTACATCTAGAACACTGGCTGGCACAGCGTAGCACACATCAAATACTTATACAATGAATAAATCATCTCTGGGTCTCTGTTACCTTTTTCTGGATCCCTTGCTCCCTTCATCCTAGAGAAGAAATAAAGGCCACAGACTTCCCATGGACAAGTTTAGCCCCCTTGAATATTTTTTTGTACCTGGAGCACAGATGGGATCTGAATCTTAGTTCAGAAGCAACCATAACTGGCTGTTAAATGACTTGCTAATCCCAACCAGCTTTCTTCAGGGGACAGCACTTGTGTCACCAAGATAAGACGACACCCCTCTCCTTGCCTTTTGGATAATCAGCTAAGAAATGGGTGACTAGTACCATCTTCACATATGGAGAAAAGCTCATTATGAAAATAATTTTCAAAAACTCACAATGCCCCTCCAACTTAATGCCCCTCCTCCCAATGATCCCTCATCACTGGCAAATCCATGGGGAAAATGAAACAGGGCCCCCAAGCTTCCATCCACCAATTTGCCACGCCTTCTAAGTCCTATGCCCAAGATGCTACTTTCTTGCTTTCGAGAGGCTTCAGGGTCTCCACGGGAAGCAGGCCGAACACAATTACCCCAACATCAAGTTCTGGAATGCATTTTTACACGTGGGAAGCATCTTAATCACTGAGTGAAACGCCTTCAACCCTCGGCTCCATGCACCATACTACATCCCTAGGAAGGATCACCCCGAGGCTTTTCGATGCAGGCGATGATTTAAACTGCGCCCCGGGCCGTTACACGACCGCCCCGAGATGCCAGCGAGAGCATCTCCGCTTCAAGTGCACGCGGAGCAGGGGGTGCCCTCGGGACACCAAGCCCGGCGCGTCTTTCATTCCTGCAATCCCCACTCAGCGCCAGACGCCCCAAGGACTTCAAGGGCAGGAGACTACATTGGGGGAAAAAGCGTTCTCTTTTACCTGCCCAGACAATTCTGCAATCACAGCGGCCTCATTCGCGTCCTTCCAAGCCAATCACTGGCGCGGCGCGGGGGTCACGTGACTTCCGAGTACTTCCGGCCTCTCCGCGGCGCGTCCCCTGGTGGCGCGGCCGGCGCTAAGACCCCGTCACAGCCGCTCGCGCCGCGCGCACGAGTGCCCGCCCCCTTCCTGAATGTCAGCCAATCAGAAGACGCCGCTCCTCAGGGACCAATAGCGAGGAGGCCGAGCGAGGCCGGGGTCACGGGGGGCGGCGCGGAGGGGCTGCCGGGAGCTGGCTGGGCCCGGGGCCGCCGGCGGCCGCGGTGGGAGATGAGGCTGCGGACCGCGTAGGGGCCATGCCGCCCGGGCCCCGGGCCTGCCGGGATGGTGAACCTGGCGGCCATGGTGTGGCGCCGGCTTCTGCGGAAGAGGTGGGTGCTCGCCCTGGTCTTCGGGCTCTCGCTCGTCTACTTCCTCACCAGCACCTTCAAGCAGGTCAGTGGCGCCCGCGCTCCCTCCCGCGTCGCCCCCCCCCCGCCGCCGGCCGCCCCGCTGCCCCCATTGGGGTCGGGGGTGCTGCCGCTGCAGCCACGGTGCCCATGTGTCTGGGGAGCGGGGCGCCTCCCGGCACGCCAGTCCCGGGGCTGAGCACGCTGCGTGGGTGCCTGGGCAAGAAGGCGCGGCCAGGCAGGCTCAGGGCTGGGACTCGAACCGGCGGCCCTGGTGATTGATTACTCTTCGAGCCACCTGCGTGCCTCCACCTGCTAGGGCTGGCGCGAAGACGGGTGTGCATTTCTCAATGCAGTCTCCCGCCGCTTCTTGGGGGGTTGGGTTGTCCTGCTTGGCCTTCCTTTAATTTGGGGGCTCATGGTCCACCTGGATGACTCAGTCGGACTCACAAGGTACCCTTTAGGTGCAGAATTTGGGTGGGATTTTCTTGTCACCTCCTCACCCTCTTAGTCTTTTTTTCCACTCGAGACTTTCTGGGAGAAAAGGCAGGGTGCTTGGTGGGAAATGATCCCCAGAGCATTAGTAAGTTTGTTTGCAAGTCCAACTTAAGCATTTAGGTTTTTAGAAAGGATGAGCCCCCAGGATGTACCCCGGGCAACTCTGGTTTGTGCTGATGTAGTTATTAAAATCTCTCCTTGTCACTCTCCTGGCTCAAATTTGTAAATGAAAAATACACAAGAGTAGAAGGTAAGTAAACCACATGGTCACCCTAGATTTAGCTGATGGGGCTGGGAAGCTATGAAAAAGGAAGACAGAGAACTGTATCCCAACTAAAACTTTGGCAAACAGACTGGGCCACTGGGTTTTCTGTGTTGTAAGCCTCTTGGATTCACTTTGAAGTGTGGGTGACACCTTGTAAGCTATAGCATGTCTGTGACTTGTGTTCTCTGCCACCTTTTTATGGCCACGTGTTGTCCCTTCGCTGTCTCATGGACCTCTGAATGTTGTTGAAGGTCAGGACTCAAACCTCTGTCTTCCCTACTCAACTGAGGTGATCTAGGTGATTCATCTAGGTTTGTTTCGATAGTCTGATTTATAACTCCGGCCTAGACCTGGCCCGATAACCCCAAATTCTTTTCTTTTAAAGATTTAATTTATTTATGCATACAAGAATTGGGGTGTAGACGAGAGGTATGGGGAGTGAGAGCAGAGTGGGGAACAGAACAGGCAGATCTACTGAAATCCACTGCTGAGGGGAACAACGGGGAGACAGGAGAGGTCTGCTGCGCCATGTGGGTCAGCTCCCTGGCTGGGGATGGAACCTGGGCTGCAGTGTCTGGAGATAGTTTGATAGTGCTGAGACTTTAACTCCTGCGCCACCAGGGAGGCCTCAACCCCAAATTCTTAAATCCCATCTTCTGCTTGATATCTCTTTGAATGTGTTGTAGGGGCTTCTTAGACTTGACAGAAACAGAGCTCTTGATTCTTACCGCTAACACTTGCTCAATCCCAGCTGTCCCAGGCTCACTGAGTAGCATTGATGTTCACTGAGTAGTCAAGCCACAAACACCAATTCCTCTTTCCTTCACTGCTCACTCCCTACATCCAAAGAATTGCCTTTGCCTCCAGAGTGTTTTCTGGATCTGTTGATGTCTCCTAATTGCCTCCCTAAATCATGCTGCCAGCTTCTCTTGTCTGGACCACTACAGCAGTCCCCTAACAGACTTCCTACCCAGCAGAGATGGTGATAATCTTTACAGCATCAATCATGGCACTTCACTGGGTTCAATTCTTTGGGTTCCTGTTGCACTGAGACAAAACTCCAGACTCCCCTCCAAGAACTCTGCCTGGTGAGTTTCCTATGTCACTTCAGGTCAGGCCACACTGGATGATAGAGTCTAAATTATCTCAGGTCCTTTTCCATAAGCCTGCTGTATTTCCTTTGTGGTCAGAATCACTAACTGAGCAGTTCTTGTTCATTTACTTGTTTATCTGTTGTCCCCTACTTTCTCGTCAAAAAAGTAATTTTCTCGAGAACCGGGGCCTTGTCTTGCTTTTGCTCAAAGGTTCCCAGTCCCTAGAATACTGCCAGGCAGTTCACCAGCACTCACATATTGGAACAAACAAGCGAGTCTTTTTAACTGGAATGACTTCTTCTCACTCTGCTCTTTCCTCATTTTTCATGTCTTGAATTTGACGCTGTTTACCATGTGACCTTCCTTACAATCTTTTAAGCCCTCCAGTGCACCTATTTGTCATTTTATTTTTTCTTACTACTGTGTATTTTTTTTAAAAAACTGATCTAGGACCATAATCAGTTTTTTTGGGGGCGGGGGCCAGAGAGGGAATGTTTGAGTCCCAAAACAGTTGGCACAATTTCTGTTTTACACATTTCTCAGATTCTGATTCCTCCATAGCTAAAGCAACACCCAGAAACATTTCAGCAATAGTCTCTGTGTCCCTTCCTGACAACCCCTGGCAACCTGTGGTCAACTTTCTGTCTGAATTTGTCTACTGTGGACATTTCATATGAATGTCTTCTGGGTCTGACTTCTTTCAGATAGAAGCCAGTGTCTTCAGGGTTTGTTCATGTTGTAGCATGTGTCAGTATTTCATGTTCATGTCTGCATACTATTGCATAGTTTGCATCTACACCATTTTATCCAGTTGATAGACATTTTTGGCTTTTATGAATAATGTTGCTGTGAATGTTGGTGTGCGAGATTTCGTTTTTGCAAGAATGTTTGCAGTTCTCTTGGTCCCAGGAGTAGAATTGGTGGCCCATGTGGTCACTCTTTAACTTTTTGAGGAACTCCCAGGCTGCTTTCATATAGTGGACCTTTAAGAAACTATACTTGTTAAGTTTTGATGTAGTATCAAAGAGAATATCCATTATTATTTGCAGAAACTATTAAAACACTCTTTCCTTTTCTGCTTACACATGTGTGAGGTAGATTTTCAAACGCCTTAACCCAAACAACATACTGCATCAGATTGAATGTAGAGGGAGCCGTGAGAATCCATAAGCTGTGTCTTCCATAAACTTAGACTGAAAGAGATTTGCGGAAATATTAAAAAAATGTAAAAATGTAAAATATAAAAAAAGAAATTTTCTTATGAAATTTCTGTATTTTCTTTTGAAAAACTTTTCCTCCCCCACAAAGCAAACTGTTGACAGTTAATGGGTTCATTGTTATTTAAATGAGTAAAAATGTATTTAGAATATTTTAAGAATATATGCTTTAATTTCTAATATAAATATCAATAACCATAGCCCTCAGAAATCTATTTATTGGGGCCTTAGTAATTTGTGATTGTATATGGAAAGGGCCCTTGGGGCCAGAAACCTGGAGCAATGCTGTCTGTTGTGGCCAGTGCTCTCCACTCCTTGTTGTGGTTTTCAATGCTACCACTCGGGAGCTAGGGGACCTGTGGCCAGTTGGCTCCATTTTGCCCAGCCTTGGGTTCTCCATCTGTAAAATGGACGTGCTGTGGAATGGATGGTGGTGGGTGGGGCTGGAGGGGAAGAATTTATTCAGAAGAGACTGAAAAAGTTTAAAGTTCCAGATGACCCTGAGCTCTGCTTCTGTGAGACCATGAACTCACAGCAGATGTGGCAGCTTTTTTGCCTAGAGAATAGTTGATTACCCTCTACTGCTTTGAATTCCTCTTTTCTTTGGCTTTCCTGTTAATTAATGCTTTGGGGGATAGTTGAAATTGTAGAGATGGGAGTGCAGGAGAAATTAGTGACATCGGTGGGGATGCCATAGGGGAAGAGGATTGGGAATGGTGAGTAGTGCCAAGTGAATTGGGCCCACTTATTTAACAAATGTTTAGTGAATAGCAGCTGTGTGCTGGGCACTGTCTGCCACACGATGAGCAACAGTGGGCAGCAAAGCAGATGAGGTCTTACCCTTCAAGCCCATGTTCTGCCGGGAGTAAGGGAGCGGTGGCAAGTCAGAAAGTTATTTCCCATGATAGCTTATGATAGGAAGGATGCAAGGTGAGGTGCAGAGTGGCCTAGCTAGGTGGGGTGTTTGAGCTGAGATGAAAGCATTTCCAGGCTTGAAGTTGCAGGGTCTGTGGAGGTCCTCTCAGAGGAGTCCATGTTTCTCCTGCTTGTTCAGGAGGAGCAGTTCCTGAAGTCTCTGCTATTTGCTTAAGTCCTGGAGAATAGACTAGCCCCTTCAGCTATAAGGAAATTGTATGTAAATTGGTGTCATGTTAGGTACTAAGTGTAATAATTCATGAGAGAGTTGCTAAGCTGTTGTTTTGTTTTTCACTGGTCAACAAGGTACATATATTTTTCGGAAAGTTTGTGAAGTTCTGCACAGGCTGAAGGAAGAAAAGGATTACCTGGAATCTCGCGGGTTAGAGGGCTCCACTGTGTGCATTTGGGCATAGTTTGTCATTTTTCATGTTGCTTTTGTATAATTTGGCATCCTCCTTCATATTTTGCCCATTTTTAAAACCTCTTCATTGAGTGCAGTTTTTATAACTAAAGTTTTCTATTTATTCTCTAACTATTAAGCATTTGGGATGCCTTCTGGCATTTATCACAACCTTATTCCCCCATCCCCTTTTTGAGATTCATAAGCACATCTTTGAATGATACAAGGACTTCTGTTTAGGTGTTTTACTACTTATGTGGGGCGTTTATCTCATCTGACCCTTAGGCTCTTCCCCTGGAAAGTAGACAGGATAGTTAGTTACTAATATAAATCCTTAAAACCAGCAGCTAAGTAACTTACATTATTAATGAAAACATTTCTGTAGCGCCTTACAACTTATGAAGAAAGTTCTGTGTGTGTGTGTATATATAATTTTTTTTTTCCTTTTTCCTCCTCCTCTTTTCTTTATACTAGAGGGTACTCCATGTGGACAGGTGCTGATTTTGGTGCATATCTCCTTTGTCAACTAACTCTTAGGGCTTTTTGAGACTGGAGAACCAGACTACCTTTACCTCTCTGTACATGCTTAAAGTGTTGTAAGAAATTGATGCTTTTGAATGGATTGTGAATGAATATGTGTATGTATAAAAGCCTAAGATTGAGACAACCTGCTAGGGTAGAGGGAGGAGTTAGGGAAAGGCTCAGAACCACTTACCCAGTGAAGGAATCCCCACAGAGCCCCTTCACACACTGCAGGACTGGACCTTCAGGAAAGCGAATGTGTGCATTCATTCATTGCAGTTGCCGTTATGTCATACACAGTCTCTTGTAATCATCCTTTTTGGTTGTACTACTCTTGCACAGTTATTTTGGCAAGGTCTCGAATATTCACGTTTGAAAACAAGGTCAAGTGCTGGGAGGATTGATTTCCTGTTTACCAGGAACAGTTGTGTGGAAGTGGTCCTTCCGGGACACACTTGTCTGTGAACTCTTGTTTTCCTTCAGGAAGAATAACAGGATAGTCTGAGAGTAGTGTTAAGAGCACTTTTAACCTTATGATGGACCCAATTTACTTTATGTTGAGTTGTCTCTTAATCGTCTTTATGGCTATTCATTTATCTAGGGTGGCACTTGGAGCTCAGTTTAGTTCGCACATAGCTGATCACGCAGGTCACTGATGTGGTCCCAGCAGAGCCAGGTGTGTGATTTTGCAGTAGTAAGCAGTGCACACCTAAGTGATTTGTTCCATATTCCCAAGGCTTCTGTGCTTCGCTCCTCTTCTTGCACTGAGGAGTGCAAATGTTATTTTTGTATAACTCATCTTGTTCCTACTAGGGCCAGTTCTTTCTTTTAAAAGAAACAAAAAGGGGGGGCAGATTAGAAATTAAAGCCACCTTGAGGGGCTATTTTACATTGAGTAAATTAAAGAACAATGTTCAGTACCTGTGTTATGGTGGTAAAGCTGTAAACGCTTCTTTAAATGCTGGTACTATCACAAGTGGTGTTTGTACCTGTTGGGAAGTTCTTGGGCACTATATAGTGTTGATTCTGTTGGGAAGTTCTTGGGCACTATATAGTGTTGATTCTGCGGCTCATAGGAATTACTACAAATTGTTCAAGAGAACAAGCAAAAACTTTACATTTTTCATGCAGTGCTTGTAACAGAAACCTGGGGTGGGCTTAAATGTTGGTCTGGAAAGGATGTGTTTACTAAATCATAGCGCATCAACATGATAGATTATTGTATAGCTTTGAAAATGTAATTATCAAGATAATGTAGGTACTTGAATTGGTTACCATGCAATTAGTGTCAAGAAGAGCTGGATGCAAAGCACCCTAATTTGTAGTAGAAATGCTGGGGTCAAAGGCTAGAAGTTAATATGCAGCCGTACATACACCTTTAAATGATGGGATTGTGGGCAGTTTTCATTTCTAATGTTGGTAAGCATGTTTTTTGTTTTTTCTTAAACTTTTAATTTTGGAATAAAAATTTACAGAAAAGCTGTAAGGATAGCAGAGCGTTCTCATCAACCCCTCACTCAGTGTCTCCTGTTAGTGATAGCCCTGTTTTTAATAGTGGTTTTTTAAATTTTATTTTAAACTTAAAATGAATTCATTTCAAAGGTAAATATAAACTTAATAATAACCTGTGTCCCTCCCATGTTAATCATCTGTAGTGTATCTTCCATACCTTTATCTTGGGTCTCACAAACCTGTATGTGTATATTATTGTAATTATCATCATAGTATAACATGTGTTAATATTGCACATTTTCTGTAACTTGCTCTTTTCACATAATACTCTTAACAGTGGTCTACAAGCCTATGTCTGTGTTAAAATCAGCTGGGCACTTAAAATTATTGATTCCCTGGTCCCATCTACTCAGTTTGGCTCAGGAACTGGAATTTGTTTTAAGGTCTGTACATAATTCACTATGTACGCGAGGTTTAAGGACTCTAGATAAATAAATACCTGTCAGTGGTGTGTAGGTTGTTTTGCATTAGCCATAATTCTTCAGGGGTTTACTTTGTCACCTTTCTGTCGTTGGGTCTCCAGGCCTTTTCTACCATTTACGCAGGCGTACCCTACACACCGGTGCTGTCTTTAGGATAGAGAATGTGTTGACTGCACAGTGCTGTCTTTAGGATAGAGAATGTGTTGACTGTACCAAAGCATATATTTCAAATATTAATCATCCTTCCCAAATTACCTCCCTAAAGAAATCTTAGCAACTATATAAACATCTTTTCCATTTTTTAAAAGTATGAAACCTTTGCCATCAAACTTTTAAGCTTAGTCCCTTTTGTTCAAATGGTGACACTTGACAGACCATCCTTAATGGTCAAAGCCACAGAACTCCATTAGACTGTACAGTGTTTACAAAGGACATAGAAGCCTTTTGGAGAGAGTCTTTTATGACTGTTTCCCAACAATAGGCTACAGAATTCAGAAGACGCTGTCTCATGCATGGCTTGTTTTCTGGCACTCAGACACCTTCCTCCTTAACTTCTTAAATAGTGAGAAAAAAAAAAAAGGCAATTTGAAAGCAGCTTAGAGACCAGGAAAAGGCTGCCTCTAGGCAGCTCTTCACTTCGCATATCTGGGTAAGTGGCTGGCTGGCTGACTGGAGTATTCTCATCTTTCATAAAGAAAACACACGTTGTAAGAGTTACATAATCAGTATTTTTTAATGGAAGAAATTTGAAAGTTGATGTTCTTCTTGCCCCTGAAATCAGCCTCTAATCCTGTGTAGTCATACCTCACTAAATGAGCAGAAACTGGGCCTCCCTTGGTGGTGCAGGCACTTGAGTGCCACACTGTGAAGTTATCCACAGCCTCTGCAGCGCCGGTTCGATCCGGGCCAGCTGGTGAGGGTCCCAAATGTTGTGGCAGACCTCTCCTGCCTCGCCCGCTGCTCCCCTCAGCAGTGTATTTCATCAGTCTGCCTGTTTTGCTCCCCACTCTGTCTCTGGTGAGTCCTCTCACCCTCTCGCGCATCTGGCCTGTACCCTGGTTCTTGTATAAAATAAATCTGTAAAAAAAAAAAAAAATAAATGAGCAGAAACTCATTAAGAAACATCTCGTTAGGAGATTTGGGGGTTCAGATGTCATCTCACATCTAGAAGGTACAGCATGCTGCACACCTGGGTTGTCCTGTCTGTGGTCTGCTGACCAGAGCATTGATATGAGGTGCCTGACTGCATTCCCATGTTTACCACTCAAGCCCTCGTAACTGCATAGGACAGTGACCTTGTGCTCTGGACATGTCTGGTTATTGTCTGAAATGACAGTTGAAAAATTTCTTTGAAGTTTTCTCTTAAACATGTATTTAAACTTTACTTTCTATTTTGCAGTGTATTTGTTTTAATATGAAAAATTTTAAAAGAATTTGTCACCAGAAAGAAAATGTTCAAAACTTTTCCCCCCTCCCAATTCCCCCCCCCCAAAATTAATACTTTCGAATGCATTTATAATATGCATTTAATCTGTTAGTGTGCTACTGAGGGGAGCACCACCTGTGCACAAAAAGGCAAAAAGAAGTATACTCTACTGTGATAGATTTCTAATGGAATTAGTGTTCGTAGAGGGAGAAGGATGATATTCCTAATAAAACTAAAAATTACCTGTTCCCTCCTGGGCAGATGCCAGCCAAACAGGCTCTTTCTGAAGTGGAGCTGCTGTGGCCCACACGCTTACCACAAGTGTAAGGTATCTTCTGGTGGCGAACCACAAGAAAGGGCTAAGGAAATCCCAGGGATCTGGGACAGGAGAGAGAGGAAAGTATTCAAATTACAGCCCTTGATGCAACATGAACTCAAGATAATACTGTCTTTGTCTCCACCAGGGGCCAGGAGCAGCCTCCCCATGTGTCTCTCACCCACATGTTTCTTCCAAGTGTCTCTACATGTCTCTCTTCCATGTGTCTCCTTCCATGTCTCTCCTCCAAGTGCTTGGATGCATGTTGGAGCTAGAGAAGCCAGAGAGCCCAGTCCCCCCATTTGCAGTTATAAACCAAGTTATTGTGCTTAACTCCACCCCCAGTTCCCAGTGACCCCTATCCCCCAATCCAGGAAGTCAGATTCAGGCATGCTGGGAGTTGTCCTTGATGCCTGAGATCTTGTAAATGTGAAGATGGGGGTGGAGTTCGTTCAGGACCACATTCCTGGACCCAGAGTTTGCTCCTTATCCCCACACATGCAGGATCCTTCACAGAAGTCATTTTTGAAGAATAGCTCTAATGTATTTTTCCTACAGGTTTACTTTGTCTTTAACTTTATGACTTTGGCTCAGACTTTGCTCATCCCAGGGCAGTGCAGATTTCTGCAATGCTTGCTTTTTTACAATGTTTCTGTCTTTTTACTGTGTTTCCATTAAAATTGGTGAAAATGCAAGAAGTGTGACTTTACCTTCTCATTTATGGTTTCCGTAGGAGGAAAGGACAGTGAGAGATCGGAATCTCCTCCAGGTTCAAGATCAGGATCAGCCCATTCCGTGGAAAGTGCAATTTAACCTGGGCAATAGCAGCAGGTCCAGCAACCAGTGCCGGAACTCCATTCAAGGGAAGCACCTCATTACTGACGAGCTGGGTAAGGCTGGCTCCGCGCCTCCTGCAGTCAGTGAAATACTCTGGCATGGCTGTTCGTAGGGCTTTTTAAATAGTGATTCTTCTACATTGCCTTTTCCCTTCTGCTCATTTTCATGTTTTTCACACCTTCTTGACTTTTTATAGTTACTCATTCAAGTTTCCCTGCAATGTCAGAATAACTTGGTTTGATCAATCTCTTAAGTTCCTGTAACTTAACAGTTTCAGCATTTTGTCAGGTGTTAGCCCCGAGGCTACTTCCTGCCAGTCTTTTACCAGCCCTGCTATTTTCAGATCTTGTCGATCTTCTTATCTTGATGGTGAACTCCGTGGGGTAATCCCTTTTCCTCCTTGGTGATCTGAATAACGTCCATGTAGTGTTGGCACCTAGGAAATTGCACTTGCAGACTGACTGAGTGGGTAATTTCAGGATGTGTTATGCCCTTTCAACATGTGTTTCTCTTAAACATTCTCGTGCTTGTTTTGATGCCTTTTCCCCGACTTTTCTCGTTGCCTGGCCCCAGTTAGAGACAGACAGTATTACCTTGACTTCATGTTACATCAAGTGTTGTATTTTGAATTTTTCTCTCTCTCCTGTCTCAGATCCCTGGGATTTAGAAACCTGCTAGATCTCTTAACACTTTCAGTGTGATTCGGTGTTCCCAAAGAGAGACCCACAAATACTGTACCCATATTGAGTTCTCAGTGCATACTGGGCACGGAGCAAAATGCTCTTCTCGAATATCTCAATTGAATTTTTGCAGTGATCCTATGAGGTGTGGATACTGCTATCCTCTCTTTATCGGTGAAGACATGGGCACCAGGAGCTCAAGGAACTTAACCAGGATTGCTTAGGACTCTTTTCTAACACATAAGTGTGATACCATCATCACACCAGGAAAGGGTGCAATTAATTAACATTAATATCCAGTGTTCAGAGTTCCCTGGTTGGTCTTTTTTCTTTCAGCTAGTGGTTTGCAAATAATCTGGTTTGTTTGCATGAGTAAATTTTACTCTATTTCAAAGTCTCATGGATTATGAGATGACATTGATGTAGGTAACCATCTGTTTACTCTTATCTGTCCATGATGAAGCTCAGCAAAACAAAGACGCTTGCTTGCCTTTAAAATGAAAACTACATGCTCTGTTGTTTCTTAAAATTTTACATTCCAGCAAAAACAAACAAGCTCCTTCATCCCCTAATTTTCCTAAAACAATCTCAAAGGCATTATACCAGAGATAAGTTATTTGGAAATGAAGGAAGAAGTTAGAGGGAATCCACACACAGGTAGATGAGCTGGAGGTGAGTAAGGACAGGACCTGGAATGGACCTGGAGTGGACCTGAGTGGACCTGGGTGGACCTGGGTGGACCTAGAGTGGAGAGCTCTTTTCCTCATAGGCTGTTTTGTTTGTGTGCCACTTAGTGAGAACATTTAACATCTTATACCTTGATTGTAATATTAAGTATTAGGTTATGAAACAACTTGTTGTAGCTAGCAAAAGAATACTTTTCTTCTGACTAATGCAAGTGAGATAGAGACTCTCAGGCTTCTTGAGTAGCAAGTTCCAAGAAATCAATCCATAAAAAGTCCCAAGAACCATAGACACTATTTTGCCTCCATGAATATGGAGATGGTAAGCAGTTTAGTAAAGAAAACTGCAAGAATGTATTTGTTGAAGCCAGCAGATGACATCACAAGTATGAGCATAACATGTTACTAAGACAGACCACCAATTCGAATGCAAAGGTTCACAGTTGATGTCCTAGTCTATGCCAGCACACTTGGGTTTTGTGGTCTTACAGGGCTCCTGTGGGAAGTGGTGGTGCAAGAGAGAACTCTTGAGCTTTCTCCCACCAGAAGTTGGGAGGATCAGAGTTTGAAGGCTGAATACTAGAAGCTAGCACTGGGTGTGGGGAGGAAGCCTGAGATGCTGACACTTAACAATGTGGTAAAGAAAAGGAGGGTCATTTCAATAGGAGGAGGAGTTTAGAGCACATCGTATTTACATCTTCTTGACACAGAGGTGATAGGAATGCTGTGTATTTGTCATTTGGGGCAGAATTTTGGCTTATTTGGATTTTTTGTATGTTTGTTTATAATCCCTGTGAGAAAGGTGAGTAACAATAGTTATGAAGAATCCCAGAAATTGGGCCTCCCTGGTGGCGCAAGGGGTTAAGCACAATACTGTGAAGCTATCCTCAGCCTCTGCAGCACGAATTAGATCCCAGGCTGGCCTGGGAGCTACCCACATGGTGCAGTAGACCTCTCGTGTGTCATCTGCTGCGCCCCTCAGCAGTGTATTTCAGTCAGTCTGCCTGTCCTGTTCCCCACTCTGTCTCTGGTGAATCCTCTCACACCCCACACCTCTGGCCTGTTCCCCAGTTCTTGGATGCATAAATAAATAAATCTTTGGGGAAAAAAAAGAGTCCCAGAAACAATTCCTATACCATTAGAGTCACCTTCTCTTAAGTTAGAAGATCCAACAGCATAGTTAACAAGAAGAACAAAAAGCACCAGTTCTCATAGAACTTGGCATCTGTCTGGTTGTATCGAAACCTCAGTCTCCCCAGTGTTTAAGTGAAGGCTCTTTTAGTTTCTTCCACTGTTATTTTACTGGTCCCTCCTGCTTTTGCACAGACTGTGTTTTCCAGAATAGTTTCTGAAAACAACCTTCTACTTTGCCGAGTCTCATTCTCTGAGGACTGTGGAGCTGGGCATTTGGAATGGAATGAGGCTGGGAACAGCTGCTCTGCACCCGTGGGCCCCGCAGTACCTGTGAGCTCGGGGCGCACCTGGGAGTCTCCCAAGGGCCAGAGGTGTTCCTCACGGACCTCTCCGTACATCTTTTCTGTCTCATTCCCAAAAGGATGTAGCGAAATGTCTGTTTAGCAATCTGAGCAATAAATCAGGTTTCTAAGGGGAGTCTTTCCTTGAAGTTGAGCATGAGATGACAGGATTGGGGGAGATGTGTTGAGATGATGAGATTTATGGGAGTGGAGGGAACTGGATGTTCTTTCTTCCTTGGGTATTAGAGAACTCACATTACATGCTTCAGAGGGATAGTAGGGCTCTGGTATGTGTACTTAGGAATAGCAGCCTTGATCAATATGTAAAGGTTAGACATGACTGCCTCTCTTTAAAAAAAATCCACAAACTGGGCCTCCCCGGTGGCGCAGCGGTTGAGCGCTGGGTTGTGAAGCTGCCCGCAGCCTCTGCAGTGCCGGTTTGATCCCCGGCTGCTCCCCGGCCACCGGAGGAGGGTCCCGCATGGCGCGCAGACCTCTCCTGCCGCCCGCTGCTCCCCTCAGCAGTGTACTTCGGTCCTTCTGCCTGCTCTGCTCCCCGCTCTGGCTCTGGTGAATTCTGTCACCCTCCCGCGCTTCTGACTGTACCCAGTGCTTGTATAAATAAATAAATAAATCTTTAAAAAAAAAAAATCCACAAACTACTAAATAAGTGGTCAGCATTTAAAAGATATTTGTAAAGAATAGGATTCCTGGGCCTCCCCAGTGACGCAGTGGGTTGAGCACTGCGCTGTGAAGCTGTCCACAGCCTCTGCAGTATGGGTTCAATTCCTGGCCGGCTAGGGAGAAACCCATATGGCGTGACAGACCTCTCCTGCCTCACCCACTGCTCCCCTCAGCAGTGTCTTTGGTCCGCCTGCCTGTTCTGCTCCTCGCTTTCTCTGGTGAATTCTCACACCCTCCTGCGCCTCTGACCAGTACCCGTTCTTGTATAAATAAATAAATCTTTAAAAAAAAAAAATGATTCCTTTTACAAGGCTTTCATTTTGGGGGAAATGCTGTGAATTTTCCCGTTTTCAGATTTTTGTTTCACAGAAAATGGTGTTTTTTGTTAGGCATACACGAAAGGTGAGAGCAGGAAAGCTAGGTGTGACTGTGCACGAAGATGAAATCAGGCCTGTACAGCACACTAATGTTGCTTTAGATAGATCCACATTGAGCCTGGTTATTACTTGGCTGTTTAGGAGTCCTGCGAACCCTGGCGTGGGAAGCAGACCCTGGCCTCAGGCTGTGATCTGGGATTTGCACCGAGGCTGCTCTAGCCCCCAGGGTCTGTCAGCACTTTCTGTAACCCTGTGTGGCGGTCTCCCCAGGTGAGGAAGTGGGGGAACTCTAGTTTGATACTCAGCTTAATCTCTCACCTTCAGGATACGTCTGTGAAAGGAAGGACCTGCTGGTGAATGGCTGCTGTGACATGAGCGTGGCGAGCACAAAGCAGTACTGCTGTGACGGCTGCCTGCCCAACGGCTGCTGTAGTGCCTACGAGCACTGCGTCTCCTGCTGCCTGCAGCCCAACAAGGTCAGAGCGGCTCCTGGGCCCGTCTCCCTGCTTTTTGGCTTTGTGTTCTAAGCATGAGATTGTTTGTTTGGGTGAGATCCTTTTGAAGGTAGAACTGAGACAGGAACTTCGTGGGTGTCAGGAATTGCTGCTGGGAAATAGCCTCTGTCTCTAATAAAGGAGGGGCACCCCATTACCTGCATGCTGTGCTTTTGCAGAGAGGACCATCATGGGGCCAGTCGCCCATGCTCACTGGAACACACTTTTCCCTCCCCCACCCCTGGCCCTGTCAGTGTTCTCTTAGTTTAGGAGAACTGTCCAAGGTTACCTTGGGCTGGCTTGGTCTGCAGTTTATTACAGGTGCTAACTTTTGTTTCCATAGCAACTGCTCCTGGAGCGCTTCCTGAACCGGGCAGCCGTGGCCTTCCAGAACCTCTTCATGGCAGTGGAGGATCACTTTGAATTGTGCTTGGCTAAATGCAGGACCTCGTCCCAGGTCAGAAGCTGTGAAGCATGTAGCTTGGGGAGGGGCAGGATCTAGAAGAAAAGTTGAAAGTATTTATATTTGTTCAAAGTCTAATCAGTTTACACTCCCTAGCTGATTAACATGTCTCCGCTTTAAGTGGAAGCTTAAATTATTTTAAGTTGGGGTGGACTTTTAATAATCCAATTCCCGAGAGACATTCTCTTCTTACTTTGAATTTGACTTCCCAGCTACTACTTGTTCAGAGTAAGTAGTAGTTTGTTCTACCACTTACTCAAGGGGAGGGGCCAGGTGGATGTTTAAAAATACAGAATAAATATGTAGGTTGTCAGCTCTTAATACGTATTGGCATGCTGTGCTTGTGGGGCACAGACATGGCACCTGCGGCTGGTAAAATCAGCAGGTGCGTTTGTCCTGCACACACTTCTGGCTTGCATGCACGACACCGCCAAGATTGTGCTTGGCTGGGATGAGAAATTGGACTCATATGTCGTCATTCTTGGGAACTCTTGTGCCTGTTGCCCGGGTTCTGCGGTCCATCTTTTGTGGATTTGTGCCTCTCTTTCTGCCTCTGGCTTGCTCTTGGAGCCTTCGTCATCACTGGGAGATGTCTCAGGGATTATGGCATGAGCATTTGCAAACAGGGAATCTGGACGTGCTTGTGCTGGAGGCGCTTTCTGCTCAAATGGGCTTGAAAGAGGCGTGGCGGAAGCCGCACAGGCCACTCACTTTGACTCAGTCAAGTCTCTCTCATTCTGAGAAATGCTGTGGGAAAGACAAAGTGTCTTCGTTCTCTAGCTGTTGAAACCCAGGTGTTCTTTCCAGTGGTTGGTGAAGAGAATGAACTTGCTGCCTGTCTTTTTATTGTAAAGAGATTGCCCAGTCACCAATTTATTTCGATAGCAGCATCCCAGGGATGGGAAGATTTGGCGGTCTGTCTGTAACTTGGATTAGTACTTACAATTTAGCTGTTTAGTGTTGCTCATGGACTAATTAATGAACTCTAGACTAGCCAAAAACCCAAGTTGCTTGTATGAAAACAAATTGCTGGAAAAATTAGCCATCAGGAACGATTGTTTTAAACCACACTTCCAGTTTGCTTAGCCAAATGAGGCTTGTGTGGCATTGTGTGACTTGGCTCGTGTGCCAAATCTTTAGGTCCATAAAACTAGGAAAGCAACAAGAAGTGCTCCTCCTTTGTCTTCGCAGGTTTTCATACCAGGAACTGAATTTCTTTGAAGCACAGGGTCAGATCATAATCCAACTTAAACTAATTTGAGAGAAATTAGTTGGTTTGAGTTGCCCAGGTCCTAGCTAGGTTGTTAAGAACTCACTAGTGTGCATGAAAAGAACCCAGTCATGCTGTGATGTTATGTTCGTTTTAATGCTCTTCGCCGGCATCTGTGTTGGGCTTTCCTCCCTTGCTCCATGGGCCTGGGGGCCCTTCAGTGACATTGGAGGTGGGCTCGGCTGGACGCCTGCGGGAGAGTGACAGCAGGCCCAGGCGGCTTTGACCTGGCTCTTGGGAGAGGGAGGTGTGTGACCCTGTTCGCTCTCATGACGCTCTCGTCTCCCTTTTGCCAACAGAGCGTGCAGCACGAGAACACCTATAGGGACCCCATAGCAAAGTACTGCTATGGAGAGAGCCCCCCTGAACTCTTTCCCGCGTGATGGGTACAGAAGATGTGCTGCCTGGGCGAGGCCACGCTGAAGAACTCGCAGCCTGAAGCCAGGCCGCGGCGTCCTCCGGCCTGTTGAGGAGAGCGGGGCATTGCGCGGAAACCTTGGCTGTGACCTCGTCTTGTGTTGTCCTCTGGCTTCACTCCCCACCGGCTTCACCAGCTGGAGCTGTTCTGTGAGCCAGCCTGGAAGCCCCAGCCGGTCACACTCTAAAGGGATAACCGGCGGCCAGCTGTGGTGGGTGCTCCTGGGTGCTGCTGCCGGAGTTTGCAGCCGCCCCTGCGGGACCTGTGGTGGCTTGCTTCTCATCCGGGCCTTCACTGTAAAGTTATTTATTGGATTCCTTGGGAATAGTGGGAAAATTATGTTTTATATAGGAAAACGCCTTGCCTCGAGAGTTGAATATATTCATGAAAATTGTTGTTTTGTGTTCTTGAGTTTCATGACTTAAAATCGTCCTTTTACCCAGATAAAATGTTTGACCTCTTAGAATGTGGATGTTCTCTCAAGGTATCGTTGCTTTTGGTTTTGTTTTAGCAGCATCTTCAGAATGGGCCCTGAACCTCGTGTCCTGCTCAGAGGAATGGTATAGAACCTCGAAGCTGCAGTTGTGCTAAGCTGGGATGGCTTTCCAGCACCCGGCACCAGGTGCCCTCAGCTTCTTTCCAGTGGGCTTTGGCTGTGCTTGTGTACCCATGCCGGCACCCCCTCTTACCCAGAAATTCTGACCCATTGTCCTGGGGATTTTGTCCTCAGTCCTGTGCCTCTGTTGAAAGGCCTGGGACAGCAGGTACCTCAGGAAAACCTGGCAGCCTCTTTTCCTTATCTCCGTATGAAAGCCCTGTGTTAGGACAATTTCTAGACAGAAGAACGTGTAGCAGCTGACTCTAACGGACCATCCTTTATTACTTTCCACTTTGGGGGACATAACATGTAGATACTTGGTTTCCCAGTGATTTGCAAAGAAGAAACCTAACTTCCTCTCATGGTGCTGTTAAAAATTTACATCTGCTTTAGTGGGGCTGTGAATGAAGACGGGGCCTGCGTGTTGCTGGGTCATCGCTGAGATTTCCCCTGTGTTTCTAGTGTGACCAGACATCTCTCTGGGTCAAGGCGATGAGCGTCTGTCCTCAGGTCAGGACGTCGTGCCCCTCGCACAGGCCACTGTCTGGTCTCAGGAGTCACTGGGACAAACACACTTACCTGGTGGTCGTCCCTGACCCCAGGACTGGGCACGGTCTTTTTCACTCTTTGGCCGTTCAGCTTGCGGACCTGGAGCAGACACCAGTTTCACCGTTGCGCCCAACGGGTTTTTTTTCCAGTGGAGCCTTTTCTTGGGACCGGTTTGCCTTCCGGTATGTTTCTGCAGTGTCATCATAACTCCCCTTAACTCCTGTTAGTGCGTACACTCGTCTCCCCAAAGTAGTTGTCCCCCTAAATAAACTCTCTTAATATTAGGTCCCAAGAAATCTACCCAGTGTGCACCGCACTCTGCGCTTGTTGTGTGCAGTCACCAGCGCTCACTCAGACGCTGCAGATGGAAGACGTGTGTGTCCATGCCTGTTATCTTATCCTTTCCAGTCCTCTGTGGTGTCTGAATGTCTGTCTTCTGCCGATTGTCACTGGGATAACTTCCATTGCACTTACTTGAACTGAGCAACGTGCAACAGATTTAACGTGAAGCCAGTTTCTATCACAGATCAACTCGAGTTTGTTTATTTTACACTCGATTTCTTGACCAGCACATTTCAGGTATCCAGGGCGTTTGCAGGCTGTACCCACAACTGTGTGAAAGAGGGTTAAGCTCACTTGTGTCTCTTAATCTTGAAGGTGAGGAAACTGAAGTGACTTCCCAAGTCCCTGCTGAGATTTAATGGCAGAACCAAAACAAAAACTTCACCTCCGGGCCCGCTGTCCTTCCCGCCACCTCTCACAGCTCTAGCGCTGACTCATGGAAACTTCTCCCTGGAGAGCGTCTCGTTTTCAGTTGTCCAGGCTCATGCAGGGGAGAGGTGGCACAAATAGCCAAGCTGGTCAGTAATCCAGAAGTCATTTTCATTTGGCCCTGGAATATGTTTTTGGACTTTGTAAATTAGGGGTGTTTGCTGTTTTGGAAGATCCCCAGGCTGCAGGCTATGTGATGACGCCCCTGAAATACCCACTCATCATCCCGCCTCACCAGCCTTCCAGCCCTGCATCCCTCCTGCTCCTTACACTGGATCCCTTGACTGTGGCTTTCTAGAATAGGGGCCTGAGTATGTCTGGAGCCTAGCAAAATGTGTGATACCTGCTCAGATTCTAGGTAAAGGTCAATGAAGGGGTGAAAACAAATTTAGTTTACACAAAAATTTTACTAAATATTCAGGATTTGGGGCTAACAGTAATTGGGTAATTCAGAGCATTTTACCCAATTCTGACTCTTAATTGCCATGCTCATCGCTGGAACTACTAGCTCCCTAGGAAGGAAGCATACAGTCGGTTGGGAAAAGGGTACAGAGACAGGCACCCTCAGTCCCTCTGCTAGGTCTGGCACTTGTGGCCTGTGATGTAGGGATGCTGGGACTGGTGCCCGTGGCAGAACCCCTGGGGCCATTCTAGGAAATGCAGCTGATAGGATTCTGCAGCTTTTATATTGCCCCCAAAGCCGACACCGGGGCCCTTGTGTCAGTTGGTGTGGCTGCAAAGGAAGTGGTGCAGGATCCCAAGCAAAGGTTTTTCCCAATCACTGGAATTCGCAGATAGATTATAAATGTGCAGTAATGTTGGCTATTTGGTTTGCTCTTCTTGGGAGGGAATCCGGTTAACCGGCAGCATGGCCTTGGCACTCTTGCTTCCTCGTCTGAGTTTCAGGCCCGTCACCTGTCAAATGGGCCTGCCTCTGCCTCTCAGGGAGGCTGTGAGGGCCCTGAGCGAGGGTCAGTGCGTGGCACACAGTCCAAGTCTGCCCGGCTGGCGTGGGATCCCTGGGCTCCTCGGGAGTCAGGGTGGTGACAACAGAGCTCTTGCTGTTACTTTATTTGTACTTTTTAAAGATCTCATGCTGAAGCTTAAAAAGAATTTCAGATAATTTAGATATATATGAAGGTGGAGGTAATAATCTCAAATCACACAACCTAGAGATAAGCCCCAGTCTTTTCTCTCTTCTCTCTTCTAAGCAGAAACAAAATCACTTCCTCTTGAAAACATTCCTAGAATGGACATCTTTCTGTAATCTGTAGGCCTATACAGTGATTTTGAGTGACCACACGGTGTTGGTTTCGTAGATGTACAACAATGGTATTAATCCCCTGCTGAGGCCATTAAACTTGTTACCAGATTTTTTGTTTTCCGCTACTATGAATTTGTATAATGATCTAATAACTTTTTCCACCATATTCAGTCTCACCATTCAGTCTCAGTGTCTCTTCTGCAGTATCCTCAGGAACCCCACAGTATCATTTTTTAATTCTTTGGGGCCAAGTCTCAGTTCTAATTTGTATTTACTTAATTTGTAGTGAGATGAGCCCTCTTCCCTGTTTTACTTGGCAATTTACATTCATATATGGTGACCTGCCCATCCCATTGGGCAGTAGGCTGGCAGTGGACAGTTTTTGGTCCCCGCTGGAGGAGAGCTGCCAGGGTGGAGGGCAGAGATGCTGCTTCTTGTCCTTCGGTGCCCGGGACAGTCCTCATGATAGTCACCCAGAGCTGCCTGGCCCCGAGGTCAGCTGTGTTGAGGTGGAAAGGCCCCACTCTTGGCTCAGTCTCCCTCTCAGGTTAAACAGAAGAGTGCAGGAGCTGAGTGCTGACTTTATTATTTTCCTGCCCTCGCTTTCAGCCATGCTGAAGTGCTGCTGATTAAATTACCCTGAAATCCCATGGGACCAGCGACTTCCTTGCAGGTCTCTACCAGCCAGTGCCGCCTCTAGGAGATGCCTCTGCCACAGGGTGTCCGGGCGGGTACCCTCTGGGGGTGGAGTGACCTGGAGGTTTCTAAGAGCTCCTGACCCCCACTGCAGATTTGCAGCTCTGGAGGGAGTGGAAATGCCACTATAGAGTCCATTTGGAAACTCACATTCTATAAACAGACAGCGCAGAGGAAGTAGTAATAATTAAATAAAAAGAAGCTGGTGGGATATGAGTTTTCCCACAAGGGCCTTCCTGACCACAGCCTGTCATGTCGGTGGCTTGCCGTCCAGGCTCTCCCTGTGTGGGTTCTTTTTGCCAAGTTAGGGTGTGAGTACAGTTTGGGATACAGTTTAGGGAACTGGTTTTGGCCAGTCAGATGGCTGCTGCCTTCCTTGTCCTGTCTGCTTACATGGATGCCAGCGGAGCAATCAGCATGGACTGTTGGGTCAGCCTTGAGTGGCATGAGGCCGTGAGGCCCATGGGTGCCCAATTCTGACCTGCGGACCCACTCACTTACCTTTGTGTGTGGGGCCTGATGTGTCTGATGTGGGAGCTGAGTCATCGGACTTTGTGTCAAACAAAAGCACACCCTTTCACTTAATGAACCAAACAACTCACCAGTTATAACCAGTGGGTGAAAGGGTTAAATTACTCAAATACTCGAAGGGGAGTCCAGTTTCATTGCTTCTCAGGACTGCATGTTCCATGGACTCACAAGGACCAGAATATCCCTACCAGAAATGTACTTTTGTATGTGGGTGTCTCCATAGTTTTTGATGGGTGTCTCTTCAGTCTCTGGGCTTTGTTCTTTTGTAAGTTTTGTGTGCACTATGGTATATACAGGCCAAAGTGTAAGAATCCAAAATGGTGGTGACCTGTCAAATTCATGATTCCAGACTCTGTCAGCTACACCTCACTGTTACTAGGGAGGGGTGTGGTATGTGTGTAACAGGGTATGAATGATGTGATTAGCAGCCTAATTTTATTGACAAACATACAGGCGTTATTTGTATACCTGGAGTAAAGGAAACTCTGCTTTGGTTTCCTCATTTGTTAAATGAGTGGGATCACTAAGATATCCTGCAGATTCCAGATTCCCACCCTTATTAAAGCAAGACCTTGTCCTGTCTGTGGTGTTGATTCTCACAGGGCGGGTGGAGACCAGCCATCTGGGGCTGGTTTCCCTCAAAACCAAACTTCCTCCAACTCTCTTGAAGATTGCCGTTAGGGCTCATCCTTGCCTGCCGCTTCCTCCTCAGAGGTTAAGTCAACAGCATCATCTTCTCTGCTGGGACCAACTTACCAGGTCTCTGCTCTGCACCTGTGAAAACAGCTGCCGTGTTCTCCATCCCCAAAACAGTGCCTTTGGGCAGGGACACAGGCCCGTCCCAGGGAGCCGCCTCAATCAAGGGCAAGATGACCCAGGTGTGCTTCACCTGAGAAACCAGAGCATCTCGGAATTCCTAATAAGGTCCCCTCTAGTCACTGCTCAGTAAAAGGTTTCCCCTTCACTTCTTTTGCAATTACAAACAGAAACCTTAAAATGTAGGAAATACCATTTTTAAATGCAGAAATGACAGAGAAAGAAAGGTCCGATTAGACTCCAAGCCACCAAGGACAGCTGCCCGTTCAGGTTGGCATGTAAAGTTTTGCTGGATTTTGTGCAGAAATGTGTACTTCGTATTCATACATGAATAAGAGTAGAGTCCTGCTGGATGAATTCAGTCTAATTACAGCTAATTAATATACAGAGGAGGAAAGTGCACATTTTCCTTGCATCCTCCGGCCTCTGGAATCAGCCAAGTTAGAGGCGCGAGCGAGCCCTTTGGTGATTGTACACAGGTTTGGCTTTGCTTTTCTGCACTGATTTTTACACAGTAGGGAAGAAAGACTTTTTGTTCTTCTCAAATAAAGTCATTGACATTCTGCCTTGGTGACAGACATTCCTGCCTCAGCAGGGGAGGAGAAAAGCAGTCTCAGCAGGCAGACTCCCCTTTTTTGAGAGAAAGATTGGGAAGCCCTGCTCTAAATTCGTAAGCCTGTAACTAACTTCAGGGAAGCACTGATGAATAAATTTAAAAAAAACTATGAAACAGTTGGAAAGAACCTGTCGATCACCTGGCAAGGTGTGTGGGGTAGATCATCTTCACCGAAGGCATCTCAGGCTCCCCCGAAGCCAACTCTGCTGTGTCAGGCATCTGGGCTACGTGATGCTCTTTGAGAGTATGAAGGACGTCCATCGTTAAAGTTGCTCTACGTCCTGTGGGCCCCAGTGGCAGGTGCTGAGTGAACTGGCGTCTGCTTGCCTTCCCGAGGAGCTCAGAGGCCTGGAGAGCCCTCTCTGGACTGTGTCCCCTGAGAGGTTTGCATCTGGGCAGCAGTTCAGGGGTGCTTCTCCAACTTTGCCCGCAGCCTGCTCAGGGCCCGCTGGCAAGCTGGAAATAGTCTTGCAGCCGCTTGCTTTGCAGTCGACTGGGCTCATTTATTTGACACAAATATGCTTGTTGACCTGATTTAGTGCAGGGAAGAACTCTGGACGCAGTCAGATGCGACCTTGAAGTCCTGTCTTTCTTCCACAGCCTTTCCAGACCTCAGGACAACCTCCTTGTTAATGATGCTCACAGGTGCAATTTCAAGAGAGGACGCGGATGGGAGAGGTGATGAGTGAAGACCGAGGTTCTGGTGGGCGGGCAGCGCCCACAATTGCTTTCTGTACCACTTGGTGGCACCAATTCCATAGGTTTTCTGTCCTCGGCATAATCCTTGTTGAGAGATGCTGGGCCCTGGGCTGTGTTGCCCTAAGACAATGAAGCTGTTCCCGTCGATGGAGAGGCAGCTGAAGGTGACGACGAATGAGACTCCGCTGTACACGGGGACTGGGGATGTGGCCTGCCGTCTGCCTGGCTCAAGACCTGGGGCTGCTAAGTGCCCACTAGGCCCCCTCCTTCCTCTCCCCATGCCCAGCACGAAATGCCCCCTGGGTCTCTTCAACACCCTCGCCCAGCCCAGGAAGCACCTGTCTACAGAGGCACCCTCTCAGGGGGGCCGGGCTTCTTTCTCCTGGCTTTGCAGAGACTGGTGGCATGTGCAGGTTAAATTTTGCAGGAGGCCCCTCCACTGTGTGGTGGAGCACGTGCATGTGGCTGTGGCAGCTCTTGCCTGGGTGCCCTGGGGAACAGTGAGACTACAGGCCTTGCCTTTCAGCCCACACCCCACTCACGAGGCACGTGGGCCTTGCAGACACGGTTCAAGGAAACAGACTTGGGTCAGGTACTTGACTTGAAGCCAGGTTCCTCATGCCCTTGGACCTGGACGTTTGGCCCATGTAATGTAGTATGTCAGCCCCGCTCTGCACACCAAGGGGGAGGCTCTCCGTGGGGGACAGGTTTTGTGTTTGCTCTGAAATTCCCCGTTTGGCCTGAGGTAGGATCATCCTTGATTTAATCAAAATGTTTGCTCTCTCCTGCTGGTCCCTGGAAGAAGGGTTCTTGAAGCCTGTCTCGGAAGGGAAGCTGCCTTCCAGCCCAGCCTCGGTGAGAAGGCTGCTGTATCTGTGTTGACTGGGATGGACTGAGGGGCAGCGTTGTGTCCCTCCAAAGTCATCGCTGAAGTCCCAATCTCCTTACCTTGGAATGTAAGTTATTTGGAGAAAGACCTTTCGAGAGGCGATTGAATGAAAAGGAGACCATTAAGATTGTTCTTTCTAAGACGAGGGAGACCAGGGTTTGGAGAGGGTGACTATCCGCCACCGAGGAGAGAGGCCTCAGGAGAAACCAGACCCGCCCACACCTGGATCTTGGACTTCCAGCCTCCGGACCTGAGGGTGCATTTCTGTTGCTCAGTCTGCCCCGTTTGCAGTATTTTGTTCGGGTGGCCTTCGCTGACTAATCAGAGCCTTGCAGGTAGTAAGTGCTGAGTTAAAAGCACAACAGACTCCTCAGGGGGCTGGCTGTTCCTTCTAGTTCCAGTGCCTGCCTTTTCTCGGCCTGCCTGCCCAGCAAGGGCAACAAGAGAAATAATCCCCCGTGTTAACGTGAAGCATCAGTGGCATTTAGACTGCTTTTCCCTCAAAGGATGGAAAGTCTAAAATACAATTTTCATAGGAGCTTTAGGCAATGAGTACTTAACTGCTATTTAGTGGTGTGGGCTGTGTAAATCAAGGACAGGCATTTTCGGATGTTGGATAGAATGATGAATTAGAAACGGTTTCTGCCTTCAGATAATATAACATCTGTTGGAGAAGACAGGCAATTATACCACTATCTATAATACAAGATTACACACACACACACACACACACACACACACACGAGTGAAGCGGGCAGGGAAGACTTACAGAATCAAAGGACTTGTTTTTAAATACACATATATGTCTCCTAATTTTTTCTAATTATGAAATAATATGTTGCATTATAGAAATTTATTGCAAAAAAAAGAATAAAACCTTTCATAACCCTTTCCCTACCGATAACCACTTCTATTCCTTGGTGTGTGTTTTTCTTCACACATATACTCATATACTAATATATTTAACAAAATTGTTTTTTGTTTTTACTGCAAAAATTAAAATTTGTAACCAAATGAATGGCTCTTGAATGGACATTCAGGCCACATTGGAGGTCACCAAGCAGAGAAAGAGGCGTGCATGTGCGTGAGCGTGGATGTAGGGTGCCAGGATCTGTACAAGTTTTCTATTGACATTTTCAGTTCTCTGGTATATGCCTAGGAGTGGAATTACTAGGTCATGTGTCATGTTGGTAAATGCTGTGTTTTCCCTTTTGGGAAGTTTCCAGATTGTTTTCCACAGCTGCTACATCATTTTACATTCCCCTTTGCCATGTAAAAGTTGCTATTTCCCCAGGTCCTTGCCAACACTTACTGTCTTTTTTATTATAGACATATATTGGTTATGATGTAGTATCTCACTGTGGTTTTGTCTCGCATGGTCCTGCTGGCTAATGATGACATGGACATCTTTTTATGTCATTAGTGACCATCTCTGTGTCTTCTTTGGAGAGAGAGCTAGCCTAATTCTTTGCCTATTTTCAAATTGGCCTGTCTTTTATTGTTGAATTGTTCTTTGAATTCTTTATATATAGAGAGAATACAAGTCCCTTATAAGAGAAATGATTACAAGTATTTTTCCCATTTGGTGGGTTGTCATTTCATTTTCTTGATGGTGTTCTTTGAAGCCTAAGTCTAATCTTAATGAAGTTCAATTTATCTAATTTTTCTTTTGTCTCTTTTGCTTTCAGTGTCAACTCTAACCTCATCATTTGATTTTTAATGAATAATATTCCTTGGAATGGATGTAGCATAAGAATATAATTATTTAATCTTCATTTGCATGAAACCTTTGTTTTAAATGTGTTCCCCCACTCTCCCATGGATCTTCATTTTGGGGACACTTGGAGTTAGTGACCTCAAGCTGTTTGCAACCTTGCTGTTCCACGTGCCTCTTTTTCTTCCCCACAAGTGTATACAGTGGTGCTCAAACCTCTGCAGAAGTCTCCCAACAGTGCAGCTTCAGGCATCCTCTGTCCTTGTCATTCCTTTGCCAACAGTTGCACCAATGCCACCTTGCGGGGCGATGTCTCCATCTGCTGGTGAGATGGGAAAATGCAATGCCAGGAACTAAGCGTCCTAGGTAGGTTGTCCAGTACCATCTACTCATTCTTTTTATTCTGGCCTCCTCTTGTTGCTATGGCAAATCTTTCCACCTTTGGAAGTGGTTTTTAAATATTAAATCTTTCTGAAAATGAATCTGTTTTCTATAAGGCAGGGAAGCTTATATAATTCTTGTTCGTGGACAATTTTCGGTACATGAAAAACTTCATCATTGAGTAGGGGACCATGCTGTAACACAGGCAAGGCAAGGGAAATGAATGCAGATCATTTCTTATGTCATAGTCGTGATATTGGCATTATATTTGATGCTCCTGATCTCTCATTATATTTGATGCTCCTGATGCTCCTGATCTCTCTCAGGTGTGTCATTCCACCTGCTTCTCCTGGGTGTGCATGCTGTTTCCACTCTCCTTAGTGAGGAGGTTGAGGCCAGAAATGACTGACCTTTGTTTATTTTCCAAAATGACCATGGGCAACAACTTTATTGGTTTTGTTTTTTTTTTTAACGAATGGAAGAACGGCCAGAATCTGAAGTCATCAGTGCCTAGTACAGAGCCTCGTTTAATGGAGAGTTATTCTCTTGTGCTTTGAGGTTGCATTTTACAAATGGGAGGTTTGTGGCAACCCGCGTCCATCAGGTTGACCGCCACATTTTCCCAACAGCATGTGCTTGCTTTGTGTCTCTGTCATATTTAATTAAGGTGGGTGCACTGATATTTTGCAGAATGCTATTACATACTTAATAGGCTATAATATAGTGTAAACAAACAAACAAAAAAATTGGGTGACCTGCTTTATTGTGACATTTGCTTTACTGAAGTGGTTTGGAGCCAAACCCGCACACTCTCTGAAGTATAATACACTCTCTCTGTATGATGCCTTCTACTCTAACTTAACAAGTGTTTATTGAATGAATGGAAAAATCAGTAACTTTGGTGTCCCGACTCCTGGCCTGCCTTTTCTTTTCTTTTTTAACCACACCCAGCTGCTTCTCCTGTCCTAAATGTTACAGCCATTTCAAAAAATATTTGAGATGTTCAATGAGAGAACGGGTGTTTAAAACTTTCCGTTCCATCTCATTAAAGATTTTTATTAAAAAGGGATAGAAATGTGATTTTAAGAAATATGCAGAAAAATGTGTACATGAATATTCATAGTAGAACAATTCAAAATACCCCCAGAGTGGGAACAACCCAGTGCCTATCAAGTCATGAATGGAGAAACAAAATGTGAGGTATCCATACAATGGGATATTACTCAGCCATAAAGAAGCGAAGTACTGACAGATGAGGCAGCATGGATGAACCTTGAAAATGTTATACAAGTGAAAGTCACAAAAGACCACATAGTATGTGATTCCATTTATAGGAAATGTCCAGAGCAAGCTAAATACATGGACACCGAAAGTAGATGAGTGGTTTCCTAGGGTAGGAGGGGTTGGGAAAAAATGAGTGACCAGTAACGAATATGGAGTTTCTTGGTGGAAGGAGGGTGATGCTCTAAAATTGATCGTGGGAGTGGTAGCACAACTACACCAAGAATTCAGTTTAGGGCCTCCCCGGTGGTGCAACGGTTGAGCACTGGGTTATGAAGCTGCCCGCAGCCTCTGCAGCCCCGGTTCCATCCCCGGCTGCTCCCCGGCCACCGGAGGAGGGTCCCACATGGCACGCAGACCTCTCCTGCCGCCCGCTGCTCCCCTCAGCAGTGTACTTCGGTCCTTCTGCCTGCTCTGCTCCCCGCTCTGGCTCTGGTGAGTTCTCTCATCCTCCCGCGCTTCTGACTGTACCCAGTGCTTGTATAAATAAATTAAAAAAAAAAAAAAAAGAATTCAGTTTAAATGGGCTTGCATTTTGCAGTATATTAATTAGATTCCTGTAAAGTTATTTTTAACATGTGCACAATAAGCTTTGCAAAGGACTGGTATGTGTATGTGTGTCTGGGGGTGGTGGTTGTGCTTGGGACCCTCATGGAGGAAGTGGAGCCCAGTATTGTGAATTGAGCTTCACCCCAGCCCTGCTCCTGACTAGTGGCAGTATTTACACTGATATTTAATTGCTCTGAAGCTTGGTATCCTTATTTGTAAAACTGGCATGGTAATACTCACATCCCAGGCTTTCACTAGATTTAAAAGTTTCTCGCATACTCTGTGCTCAACAAATACTCATTTCCGTCTTGCGACCCCTGAGATGCTGTGATCCTGTGGTTTTCAGGCTGGTGAAAGGACTTTCTACTAAGTCCTTTTGCCTTTGGAAGCTCCTAGCTGAGCAGAATGTGAAAAGAGAGATTGGAACTGAGCGGGAGGCCTGGCCAGGTGAGGAGTCTGTGGTGTCCCGAGCCCCCTCATCTGTCCCCATTCGAGCCCTGCAGCAAGATCCCAGTGCTGCACATGGCCATTTGTGGGACACACAGGCCTTGTCCTCTGGCAGACTCTAAAATGACTGCAGCAACTGCAGGCAGGTGCAGTGTCCGGTCTGCTGGTCTCCCTGCCTGGCCAGCATTGGGGCCTCAGTGTACATGTGGAGGTGGCAGTGGCAGAGCTCACCCCATAGCTTCTGAAAGCAGGGATGTTCTGCCTGGATATGGCCCCTTCAAAGTGCCCCATACTGACAGCGAATGGCTAGAGGTGACGACACATGTGCTTGTGAGGCTGGAAGAACAGGTTAGGACATCTGGAAAGTCTACATTATCCCCAAACCAGCGGCCCCATTCCCCGGTGGAGAGTCTTCCTGAGGACCAAGTGCGGCTGACTCCATCCATGACCCCTGCACCTGCCCCCTGCACCCACGTGACTTGGTGAACATGCCATCCCCTGCTCTTCTCTAAGCTCCCCATTTCCAAGAGGCCATACCCAGGGAGGTGCTCAAAAGAGGAGAATGGGTTCCCCAACAACATAGACTTTGTAGAGTGGGTGGTGGAGGCTGGGGAGGGAGAAATGTTTGGGATAAATTCCACTATTATGAAAGTGAAATAAAAGAAAAAGATTCCATTGGGTTTTGATGTTTCTGAATTCCTGCTTTTACACAAAGGAAAAAATCAAATGCTCTTTCCTTTAATAACCTTTGAGATACTGTCCAGGGCCCGTATCTGCAGCCCTTCACTTGGGGTCTGGTCTTAACTAACCTAGACAAGACCATGGAGCAAGGAGAGGTGTTGAGCTGAGAACCAAGAACTGGAGGTTTGAATGGAGTGGGGGGGGACAGGAAACGGGTCAGCCCTCTACCCTGACACTCCACGAGGCAGTGTGTATGACAAGGTCGGCAACAAGGTCTTGAAAGACTCAGTCAGACTCTAAGTCCCCACCCTGTAAAAGAAGTCATGTTTCCCATTTTACGTGCAAGGGAACAAGCCACAGAGGTGCCCTGACTTGTGCAGGACCAAGAGCTAGAAGTCAGTGGGGAGTATGTCTAGCCCCAGGTCCTGCATTTTCTGCTCTCCCATGTGCTCCTCAAACCATGATGCAATGGCGTTGGGTAAGATGTGACTTCCAATACAGGCCATCTGTGCTCTTTCTTGGGCTGACTCTTGCCTTCTGCTGACCGCATGCACCTCGGGAGGATGCTCTTGATCCCCTACAGAGAAGGCTTCCATCTCCAGGAGAGTTTGCTGGTTCTTCTGTTTTTCCCTAGAGTGTTGTGTCATGGGAGCCTCATTGATGTATATGCATGGAGATGGACACATGAAACAAGCTTGAATCAGGCTGGGGATGGTTGAACCCACTGAGATGCAAGAGACA